CTTTTTACCTGCTCTTTTGTAACATAACAATGAGTAAGGTCTTTTACCTGCTTTTTGTAAAGTGTCTCGAGATAACACTTGTTATGAGTTGACGCTATACAAATTAAGATTGATTGATTGATAATTATCTTGATGTAAATATGATAAGTCTTTCTATCTCTTTTTAAGGACGTATATACAGTTAAAGCTCAACAGCCAACTTCTGATTATTTCTGTATTTAAGTAATAGTTTGACATTTTAGGAAATGCGCACTTTGCTCTGCTCAGAGTGCAACATGATTGATGCCACTCTACTTTCTGTAAGCTGAAGCAAAAAAGAAAATGAATTTACAGCTAACAGCAAGCTAGAGTCACTCAGCACTAAGACTGGAAAGGTCATGAAACAGGGAGCCTCCGACAGGTAAAAGTTTTCTTTTTCTGTCCAGCTCATGAACAGGAGCCCATGTTCCCCAGAAACAAAGAAAAAAACTCAAAACAACTTTTTAATCAGAATATGACCTTTTGGGTCCAGTAACATTTGGAAAGTCTTCGTATGTGAGTTTTGCAGAAATGTCTTGGAAGGGGGCGTGTCCAGACTTTTTCAACTGGGGTTGGACTAAAGCGGGGGGGGGGGGCTTAAGGTTTTTATGTGCAAACTTGAAACTTCTAACACTCTGTTAAACCACAGCAAAAATAGTTGATTTTCACAGAAGTCCCGCCTCTTACAAAGCAAAAAAACAATTATTAAGGATTGTTAGGTGGCAAAATATATTTCAAGGGGGGCCCATACCACCCCTGGACACCTCTGTGGACACGCCCCTGGTCTTGGACACTACCTTTGAACACAATAGTTCTCCTAAATACATCCTTGTTTCCCCATTATTCAGGTGCTAAGCTAAGCTAAGCTAACCTTAATGGCTGTTGCGTATCTATAAAACTAAATGTTACATGGAAACAAACCCCAGAGCAAAATTAAAGATTACAGGATTTAAGAGTAAAACATTTTAAACATGTAAATGAACTGCAAACAGATCTTTAATATTTAACTGTTCATGGTAAAGGATAAGTGATAAATATAACATTGTACAAAAATAACAGTGTTAAAATCTGCAGAAAGATTGGGAGAGAGCCTTTGCCTTCCAAAACATTAACACAAAAACAAAGAAGTGCGTGTATTGTGGCTATATCGGCCTTTTGCAGGTCGTCAAAAAAGTTTGCCGCGAGGGACTAAACACGGGAGTGAAGCTGTGACGCGCTGTCGTTATAAATGACTTCCAGATCCAAGGTGCTTCAGTCATTTATTCTTCCAAAACAAAACAAGATACTACAAACGCTGTTTTCGGATCATCAAATAAACTTGCGATCGCAGTGCAGTGTGGCGGTCAACAGAAATTCTCTCTTCCCACGCTCACCCCCTCTCTCCATCCAAGCCAAAAACCAGGTGAACAGGTGAGTGCGGCCGGTGAACACACCCACCACCAGTAACAAGCAGACCGTAAACAATAAACGAATCAGTAAACAACCCATGACACCAAATGCACAATCAACTTACATTTATGGCTCCTACAGCGTGCATTCACCTGCACACACACACGCACGCACGCACGCACGCACGCACGCACGCACGCACGCACACGCACCACACACACACACACACACACACACACACTCACAGGAACCCTAAGGTATTCTCAAAATATGGGACAAAACAAGTTGACAGCACTGAGATAAATCTTAGGTGATGTCACCCTGCAGCTGCATGTACCTTGTCACTGACATTATCATCACTGTCAGACCAACACAAAATACAAACATTAAAGAAGCTCAGACAACATCAGGCCTGCTGCAAGGAGTTCTTAGGAGTTCATCAGAGTCTGATGCTTTTGTCTCCGGGTGCAATCCACATTTGGCAAAATAAAAGACATTTGGGCGTAAATGTCAAGAAATATCGTCTTTTGTTGAAACATTTTGATTGTGATCCCTTAATTTGTTTTATTTCATTTTATTTTATTTTATTTTATTTTATTTTATTTTTATATCCCAAATGATGTTAAACAGTTCATTTTATTTCTACTCTTGTCATCATATTTAAATCTATATTTTATTTTTGGTTTTGAGAACAAGCAAAACAACATCAACCTCATTTATTGTGACCGATCTTTTATTTGGTGTTTGCAGTGCACCACAGAAACCACAGAACAAAAGGTCAAGGCTTTTAACTGGAATGTCATGTGTCCTGCAGGAAAACAGTCAACAATCATATTCAGGGAAAGGGATGCTAAACTATTGTGATGCCTGAATAATAATCCCCCCCTGTTTATACTCCAGGCAGGGCCCGTTGAAGCCAGAGGTTTTGTCCATCCAGTGGTCGGGCCGTCGATCCAATCGGAGACTTCAGAGGAACAGCAGCCTCTCCCCGAACAACCCACTCCTCAGTCTTGTCAATTCAGGTCAGTTTTGCGTCAAATGCTTCCATGTTATGATCCACTGAAGTTATTTTGTGTTGTAGATGCCAGCAGCAGCAAAAAAAAAACTGCACTTCCATTGTCAGTTTGTCTCCACTGGCCATGAGAGCGGAGCACAGGAGGGGAGGGGAGGTCGTGTAGGTGTGAGAGAGGAACAGAAAGAGAGAGAGAGAGAGAGAGAGAGAGAGAGAGAGAGAGAGAAAGAGAGAGGAGAGAAGAGAGAGAGAGAGAGAGAGAGAGAGAGAGAGAGAGAGAGAGAGAGAGAGAGAGAGAGAGAAAGAGAGAGAGAGAGAGAGAGCGAGAGAGAGACAGAGAGGGAGAGAGAGAGAGAGAGAGAGAGAGAGAAGGATGGAAGAGGCAATTTGTGATTTGGGGATTTTTTATGGTGCCAAAATGGAGGTTTGAAATCATGTTTTGGGGTTGTTTAACTTACCGACTATCAGACCTCAGCCTAAAATAACTCTGTTCTGGAAGTCTAAACTTCAAGTAACAGAAGAGCTGTAAAATGATTCATGATGTATCTGACGGTCAAATTGAACATTTCCAGCTTTCACATTCTGTTGAATTTACAAAGATGTGTATCCAGGAAGACGCTTTAAAAAAACTGTCATATTTAACAACAACTGTCTGTTTATTGTTGGGCTTGTTTGGTTCTGTTTTATCTGTATCTATATTTGAGTTTGATGTATTTTAAAGGCCCATATAGGGACGGCATTACAAACTATAGCTCAGGCCTTAAAATGCTGTAATGTGTGGCAACGTTTACTTGCTCCATATATGCAAATAAACATGAAATAAACCATTTTAAAACAGGTCTGGAGAGACATATGGTCAAGGCAATGACAGCCAAACAACAAGGTTATAATACACGGACAAGAGAGAGGCAAACGTTCCATCTGATAGTAAGATTTGGAAATGTAAAAAATACAGATTTCAAAACAGAGGTAATCTGCTCCTGTGACGTGAATACTGTATGTGGAAGGAAAGTTCCTGAAGGAGAGTTTGCAGGTCTAAATGTCTTGCATTTATTTAGAATATGTCAGGAGTTCACATGTGGGGAAAAAGTTAGGAGACACCCATCTGAGCATGCTCTTACTTTCAGATGAAGTCAGATCTATAACTGATGTCAGTAAAAAACTATAATACCTGCAGAAATAAAGCAACAAGCACTAACACAAAAATATTCAATATTATAACTTGAGACAAAGCTCCCCTTTCATATTTAATTTGCAGACAATTTAACCATCCAGTTTGGATTCTATATGTCACTGTCAGCTGCATTAAATGAGCTTTAATGTGGATACATATGAACCTTCTCTGCAGACTGATGTATTGTGTTTTATTCACAACACAGCAGGTTTCTCTGTTCTTGCCTGCTCTTGTTTTTCTATGTTTGAACTATTGTTTGCACACAGTTTTCTATTAGACCCCCATAATGAAACCACCTGTGGTTGCTAGGCGATGCGAGGCAAAAACCGCAGAGCCTGGATCAACTTCAATTGCAGGTCTCAAAGCCGTATTATTGATTGGCTTGCATGTGCCTTGCATCACATGAAAGGAAATGTTAAAATGCCTTTTCGGGACACCGCCACTATTTTAGTAAAAAAAAAAAAAATTGTGTTTAAAATACAGTCGATGTATGCAGCACCTTTCATCCCTTCACCTTTGTTGTTTACTCCTCTCGTCTGAAATCCATCCTCTCCCCTCAGGTGTTTATGATGAAGACAGCCAGTGGATGATCCAGGTCAACAGACTGCAGAAGCTTATCGACCGTCTAGAGCAAAGGGTGACTTCTTTTCTTTCAACTTTCACCTCATCTTCTCTTCTTCTCGTTTTCTCTCAACTTCTGTTATTTTTTTTATTTCCGTCCGTCTCCCTCACCATCTGGTCTTCTCATCCCTCTTTCGAAAATAAGCCACTGATCCTGGCGGGTAGACTCAAACGATATCAACAAATATGCTAAACTCAACAACACCCTCCCACGTATATGTACAGTTAGAGGTAACCTTTCACAGCGGAAATTTCCATTTCCCATTTCCTGAATGTAGAATGGAATCTGTTTTACAACAACACATTTTAAAATGTTTCAGCGGACCCAGATGTTAGGAAACTTTAAGTTTGATCCTGAAAATGAACCCAGAACAGATTTGACCCAATTCTAAATTGTGTTATGTTGGTTTGAGATGTATTCTATCATATATTTTAACCCCGGCAGTGAAGATAATGACACAGAATAAAGATTGACAGCATATAGAGCTTAAAGTACAAAGATATTAGAGTTAGAAACATAAAGTAATGCATTTATTTTGAATTTGTATTCGCTTATGTAGGTTCATTTTTTTTCTTAAAAAAAGATTTCAATCTTTGAGTCCCTTTTTTAAGCCTCTATAAACCCACACAGATGTTAATATTGAGATATGTTGATAAGACTTCTGATGAAAATGTGGGAAAGGAGGACTTCATGACCTTCTCCTTATAGCTCCACCTATTTACAACTACTCCTGGTCTAATCAGGGTGTACAGAGGATTTCTTTTGAAAAGTATTTTTGGAGCTTTCGCCTTTATTTGATTGGACAGCTGCTCTAGACGGACAGGAAAGGAAATTTGGGGAGAGAGAGTGGGAGAAAAACAGCATCAGGATCAGGAGTTGTGCAACCAGAAGTAGCCTCTGGACATGCTAAACCGACGAGCCCTTTAGTCTTTTTTTACTTTCACTTGTTTTCAAATTATACACAAAAATGGTTAAACAATAGTTGCCAACCTTGGGGTCAGAATCTGTGAAAGGTGAGAAAAGAAACATCAGCCCGTTCACACATGATGGATATTTCTACCACACAGAGAAAGATTTGTTGACTCTTTGTATCTACATTTGTTTTGCAGGAGATTCGTCTGGAGCCAGTTGAAGAGGAGGTCTTAGAGAGCAAATCGGTGAGTTCCAACGGACTCTTCTTCTTTTTTTTACATCTGTGACCACTCTGTCAGTCTGCTCTCACACGGAGGAGTATGTTTGAGCGAGAGGCCACGGTGATAATAACCGCTCAGCGGTCGCATAGCAACAGAGGGGATGAAACTTAACAGACTGAACTGTCTGTCTTCATCTACAATCGTTCTTGTCAAGATACCATGTTGAGTTTTTCAGACTAGTCTAGTTTGCAGTGAAGGGAGCACACAGTGAGGATGTGTGAGATGCAGACAGAGTTTATAGTATAACTCTGTGTTGTTTTTGTTACCCTCCAATTCCTTTTTTACCTTTAAATGTCTAAATATTTTATTTGCAGTATTATTCCTATAATCCCAGGACATACAGTTGTTTGAGCTTTAAACCTTCTGACAAACTTCATGTTCTGTTGAGAACAGTCTTGGTGTGTTTTGCACTCACACACACACAGTTTGCATTTGTGCATGTGTGTACATGTTACCAACCCCTGTGTATCCTCATAGTCCACATGCCAGTGCCAAAAGGAGACTGCTATTTCTCCAATCCAAGAATTCATATCATATATTCATATCAATCACAGCAGACGACACATCACTGGCAGGAGGAATCTCTCTTACATCACACACACACACACACACACACACACACACACACACACACACACACACACACACACACACTGTAAATCAACTTTAAAAAAAATTCTATAGTAACATTTTTCCTCAGCTTCAACCCTTGTTTAAACAGTTTTATAAATAAATTGTCCTCATTGCCGACACAATTTAAAGTAAAGTTTAATTGTCAGCTCCTCCGTCCTGCAGAAAAACTGCCATTCTCACATGCAAAGAAATATATAACCAGGAGCTGCATCCATTGGCTATTTCAAAATAAAGCAGATTTCTTGATCTATCTCTTTAGTGATTATCCATTTAAAACAAATGGTTTTTTTAACAAAGTCAGGTGCCTTTTTTTTTAAAGCCAGCCATCCAAAAAGATCCTGTTTAAAATTATATTAGAAAAAGAAAAGCAGCTATGAACTCATTAAAGCAGAATCTTCAGCCTCACTATTCATACACCAGAAGTATCACAAAACAGCGGTATGAATGAAACCGATGCATATGAATATTAGATGGTGCTGTCATGTCGCATAACTAGCACAATGTTGACATCTCTGCTCATGTGTGAATGAATCAATACATAATTGGTGTGTGTCACTGAGAATAAATGTGCAGCCAAGAGAAAACCAGTAATGATCCGCAACACATGACTGATGTTTGATAGTGTGGCAATATGTCTGTGTGTGTGTGTGCGTGCGTGTGTGTGTGTGTGTGTGTGTGTGCGCGCGTGCCTGTGTGTGCGTGTGTGTGTGTGTGTGTGTGTGTGTGTGTGTGTGTGTGTGTGTGTGTGTGTGTACATGTGTTTGTGTGTATTTCTACCAAATTAGCAACTGAGAAAACATCCTGAGGCATTTTACAAGTCAGACCCACAAACACACACACACACACAAGTACACACCGTACCTCAGAATAACAGGTCAACCCTCACTTCCTGTTGCCATCAGCCTCTCTGCCTCTGTCAACATTTCCTCTTCACGGCAGGACATTATTAGCACTCTTTCAAATCTATTGCCATAGTTACACAATGCCCTTCTGTTTCTGGTTCTGTGCTCTTCAGACCTCAAGTGATATTCCTCAAGCCTCTTGCTATTCCGTCTTGAAATGTTTAAAAAAGCTTCTGAGATTTAAAAGATCCAAGTTTCATTTAGGATTTGTAAAAGTCAAAGTGAGAGGAGTGGACTTCTGAAGAGCTGGACCCAGACACTGATGTGGAGGTGACTGAGTGGAGGTGACTGAAGGTGGAGGAGAGTAGCAGAAACTGAAACAAGAAACATGGCAGTGAACAGATTTAAAAATGTGACAGCAGCAGGATGATTGGTTGACAATAGTTGTGGCAGAACTGGTTTATAGTTGGTTTAGTAGTTAAAGAGTAAACACCTCTAATCAGCAGATAGAAGAGGAGAGAGAGAGAGGGGGGAGAGAGAGAGGAGGGGGAGAGAGAGAGAGGGAGAGGGAGAGAGGGAGAGAGGGGGGGCGAGTAAAATGACTGAATGATGACTAATTAATGAATGTAGGAATGAGTATGAAACGGTCCTCCTGCTTTGTCCTACTACACTGAGCTTCCTGATTGTTTTTTGGAATTCATCACATCATTTCTGTACTCATAAATACCGACCTCCAATCAGAAAGGCTTTAAGAAACTCAGTTTAGATTGCTGCAACAATGAACATACAGTACATTATATAGCTAGAAGGCACATGCACACATATAATGGGATGTGAAATGATGATAGCTTAACTTGACTGTTCATCAGATTCAGATTCAGACGACTTTATTCATCCCAGAAGGGCATTTCAGTTTCACACCCTACCGAGCCATTAAAGGAAACAGTCACAGCAGCATTCAGACAAATACATTCACATGTCAGTGACAACATTTCAACAGACGAACAGGTCACCAAATTAATCTGGTGACATAACATAGAATTATTATCCTTAAAAAAATGACTTAAAATTTTAAAGTTCTGCACAGGTCTCCAGTTTTCTCCACACTGAACCAATGTGAAACCCTACCAGTAGATGTTTGGACTGTTCCCCAGAAACAAATCCTGGCCTTCTGACTTAGCATGTCTTTGCATATTTAACGTGTGTGTGTGTTTTGTCTTTGTCTTTGTCTTCATAGCACATCCTGATCGTCCAGAGGCAGCTGTGCGTGCTGGAGGAGGAGCTGGAGGAGTTTCGTTTGGCTCTCAGACAGTACATGGAGTGTTCCTGCGCGCAGACTGGATGTCTACAGTCAGTTGATATTCTCTTTGTTCTCGTTGATTCAGGGATTTACTGTCTTTTATTTTCACACTGACATTTTTGCAGAGGCTTTTAGAAAACAGGTCATGGACACAAGAGAGACGGTAGATCTTCACATGGACATTTATTTAATATCCTTTCTTGCTCACAAGATTGCCCTTTAAAACTCTATTCTGAGCTGCATCCATCAGACTTTTAGTTTAAATAAGTGAACATCGTTAATAACATAATTTGACACCCTGAAGAAGGAGCAAGCCGACACATGTTGGTGTATATTAAATGTTTCTAGCCGTATGAATTGAAAGCCTTTTAAACTTTTCAAACCATCCTGAGTGCCTGGTTCTGGATCATTTATGCCCAAACCTTTCTCTGGTGTATTCCCTTCTATTAGCACCAGCAGTTAAAGGGATACCAGAAGCCCTCCTGTTGTTTCTCTTTTTTCACATTGTTAATTACTGGCTTTGGATAAAAGTGTCTGCTAATTGAATTGTAGAATTGTAGAGATTGTTCAGATAGACTTAGAAGTTAAATGCACATAAAACATTGGCGTGAAGCGCGTTGAGTATGCATTCAAGTTTGAAGTCTATCTGAACAATTCTGGTGTGCGCTGCATTACTCTGATCTTGAAATGAATATGTACTGATTTGAACTAAAAGCCTGACAGAAGCTTCTTAGAATAGGGAGTTTTTAAAGGGACATTTTCTTGTATATGTATTGTATAGCAACAGGTCTGATTTGAACCCGGGCCGCCCACTTCGAGGACTATAGCCTCTGTACATGTGGTGCACGCATTAACCACTCGGCCACCAGCGGCCCTTAAATAGAAAACTTTTTAAAGAGTCAACTTGACATTTCTTTAATAAATAATGTGAAGTCATGTGCACCAAAGGCATTCAAAAGGATACTTATTATCTATATTTGTGACCATGTTTTTAGGCTGTCAGAGAAATTGAAAATAAGTTGAAGCAAAAGGAGAAGATTTTACTTTAAAGATTTTGACAAATAAGCATGAAAGTTCAGTTTTGCATTTATCAAAACTAGAAACATGCCATGGCTTTAATGTAGCAGCAGACAGAAACACATTCCTTGCAGCCATTAGAGCTTTTTCTTTTCATGGCTAAAGCTTTGTTACAAATCACAGCCTGAGTGGGACAGAATGCCTCGAATGAACCGTCCTCTCGGTTTGAGACTAAACCAAGCAGCCCAGAGGACAGAGTGACATTTACATTCTGTGTAATGCTGTGACCAACTCTCTATATTCTCTGTCATGTTTGCTCAGTTTTTAGTTTAAAAAAAAAAAGTCTGTTCCACTGCAAATAATTAGAGAGTCCTCATTTGATGCGTTTTAATATTAGAAAACATTATTTGATGGATTCATTCTGCCTGAGTCCCCTCACATTGTGGGAAACAGAGAGGCGGCGCTCGGGGACATGATGTGGCACACTAATTAGCGATTGCATGACTTGTGCGCTCTCCTGTTTTTTTGCATTCGGCAGCATCGCAGTTCAGCGGCTGGCAAATGAATCACGCTTCATTCTCTATGAATTCTGGGAGCACAACAACGTGTGGAAGAAGTAAGTGTTCGCCTTTCAACATATGCACAGTGACTAATGCAGCGTGGTCTGCTCGCATAAACCCCAAATTATATTCTGTGCTTGGCTTGAACTCACTGAGAGGACGTCTGCCTCAATCTGTGTTTAAGGCAGTGACCCCCTCAGAGGACTTAATCAAACTAAATGTGTCAAAATGTGTGGGGGAAGTTTTGATGCATCTAAATGCAAATGATTTATTGATTTTCTATTTATGCATCCAAGATAGAAAACAAATCTGCAGCTGGCTCTTTTAGGATAAATTATCACATGTTTTGGTGCATCCGGGGGACAATATGTTTAAATTACTAAAAAAAACAACTGACTTTTCATTCAGCACATGCTTTCCAACAGCACAAATGACTATAAAGGTATGCAACAGGGACATGAGCTCGGCCCACTTCATTTCACATCTTATCTCCAAAAATCAAAGTTTTCTAGTTCCTGTCAAAGACATGAAACACAAGAAGTCCCTAGTTCCAAGACTTGAAATGTCAGAGGAAGAAATTTTAACAAAATTGGATGTGAAGAAGTTTTAGTCGACGGACATGATTTTTTGTCAAACAAGCAGTCAGAATGCTCGACGGTGAACAACCAGACTGAACATAACGACCAAAATTGGCAACATTTAATTTTTTGTTTTTACTTGCAAGACAAAAAGAAACCCCTATCAGCATTGCCTGATCTCTCATCATGTTTCTTAAGGCTTTACAGATGTTTGTCCAAGTCAGAACAGAACTAGGAAAAGAAACACATAAGTATTCTGTCTTCATTTATAAATTGCATATTAACTGGATGCTGTGATCATTTTTATCTAAAGGTCACATATTATGCAAAATACACTTTACCATATTTTAACACTTATATGTGTCTCTAGTCTGTCTTCAAACTCCCCAAGTCCATCATCTCCGTCTTTTCTCTGCTCCATTTTTTAGAAAATGTGTGCTCAATTAGGCCATTTAGAGATTTTCCCTTTATGACATCAGTAACCCCTCCCCCAGGTCCACAGCTAGGTGTTAGTCTGCCCTCTGAGTCTGTCTGGTCACCGTTTACAGTCGGGCATAGTCAAGTCAAGTCAAGTCATATTTATTTATAAAGCACATTTAAAAACAGCAACAGCTGACCAAAGTGCTGTACAATACATTTAAAAAAGAAAAAACAACTTGAGATCACAACGTCCACAGGAAAGATAGAAATATGTGTATATAAAGAAAGAATATATAAAGAAATCAACAAAATAAAGAAAGCAACAAAGGAACCTGAATAGTGTAAGTAAGTCCAAGCCTACCCAGCCCTTTCAGAGAGGGGGCGTGGTCAAACACAGCTCATTTGCATTTAAAGCTACAGACACAGAAACAGCCTGTTCTGAGCAGGGCAGAAATAGAGGGGTTTATAGACATGATCAAATACAGGATCAGAGTGGATTTATGGCAAAACACTTCACAGACATGTTCCTAAGACTCTGGGACTTATTTAAACTGGTTGAAAAGGAATGTAAAATGTGACCTTTAATGTGAGATTGTATTTGTGTGTGGATTTCATTTTATGTTTTTTGCTGTAAAAAGCTGCACTCTTGAGGCCTAGGTCGTTTTTGCGTATGAAATGTTTAAGTCCATGAGAAGTCAAAGATGAGCATTGTGCACATAATACCCACCCAACCCATCCTTAGCAGACTGTAATATTTCACATTACTATTCATGTGAATAACAGCTCACTTACATGATGTTTCTGCACATAACGGCCACTTTAAGTCTCTCAGTCATTTTTTAAACAAGTGAGTGTAGAACAAATAGTTTGTGCAGTAAATGCACCTTATCCATGATAATGGGTAATTGAATCCTTAATTGAAGTAATTGACTCTTTCCCTGCACAGTCACCTGCAGACTAACTACAGTAAGACCTTCCAGAGGGCGAATGTGGACTTCCTGGAAACCCCTGAGAGCTTAACCACCATGCTGGTTCCTGGTAAGAACCTTTCTCAAAGCTGCTGCCCGAATCTCAAACTCCAACTTTCACAACTCGTGAGATTTAACTTTCAACACACCAAATCTTAATTTTCTGTAATGGGTTAAGTTCTTTAGCCCAAAGACAATTTAGTAGGCCACATCGTCATTCACAGAAGCGTGCTGTGCACACAAATGATTCTCAAAGCCTCAGAGCAACATTTACAATTCTTCTCAAGGTGGCACACACCAGAATTATTTATAGTATTTTAAATGTTATTTAAACACTTGCTATAATTGCTTTTACAGCAATTATTTTCTAACATTTGAAATTTTTCCTGTTTTATGAAATTGATCTTAACTGCATCTCACAAGCAACATCCCAGAATTTCAATAACCATTCACATTCAGCCCAGAGGTCAGTGTCCAATAAATGATATTATATTGACAAGGAAATATAAAACACATCCACAAACACGTCAATACACACACACACACACACACACACAAAAGTGCAAAAAGGAGTATGTGCTCAGATTTTATTTGATTGGTTAAATTTTTTTTGGGTCAACTTGTCTCTCTCTGCAGCCTCATGGTGGGTCCTCAACAACAACTGAAAATAAAAGAGCATCCCTCACAGATTGTCACCGATGTGAGCAGCCCGTCAACACATCAGGAAGGCTCACACAGCACCCTCTCTCTCATACACACACACACACACACACACACACACACACACACACACACACACACACACACACACACACACACACACACACACACACACAAGCACACACACATAAGCACACACCAACTCGACACAATGTGTGAAGTCATGGTGATGAGTATCAATTTTGTGACCTCCATGTTCCTTCATAGTAAAGTGGTAGCTGAAATAGCCACGTGTGTGTGTGTGTGTGTGTGTGTGTGTGTGTGTGTGTCTGTGTGTCTTTGTGTGCGAGTTACTGTGTGTTTTGTTACACTTAGACGACACTCCTAAAAGCAATGACCTAGTATTGTGATGATGTGACATCATAGCTGTGTTTGACGTGGCATCATCAGCAGCCCATTGTAGATTAAGTGTGTTGCGTGAGACACTGTGTGTGTGTGTGTGTGCATGTTTGTGTGTGTGTGTGTGTGTGTGTGTGTGTGTGTGTGTGTGTGTGTTTGTATGTGTGTGTGTGTGTGTGTGTGTGTGTGTGTGTGTGTTTGTGTGTGTGTTTGTGTGTGTGTGTGTTTGTGTGTGTTTGTGTGTAATAGAGAGGACAAAGGGAGAGACAGATATAATTGTAACAACTGTAGCAGCTCATTAAACGGTTATTCTGATGTTTCTGTATTTATTGTGTCAAACTGAGTCATAAATAAAGATGTTATATTGTTGTGTACAACATGTGTGTGTGTGTGTGTGTGTGTGTTTCTCTCTCTTATTTTTGACAGATGCGGGCAACCCTTTACAGAAGTGTGGAGTGGAAAGAAAACCAAAAGCACTTGTTATAATGTAATGTTATAACATAGTTTAGATGTATTTCATTCATTTTAATTGTAAAGAAAGAATAAAACACTCAGATGAAAGAAAAAGTTGATAAACACGTTCCTAAAATATGGGTCAATGCTGCCACAGTGTGGACATACTGCAGTACAGCAGCAATACAATAAGCAAAGTGCTGGCTATCTGAAAACAGATCAATCAATATCAAAGATGCATTATCTCTGGAACCCTGTTTTGTTCTTTTGAAGATTTTTGGCTTTTCCTCAGCAGACAGGATTAAAGTTGCTGAGCTGATTCTTTTTTCAAGATTTCCTCTGTAAACGTTTGTCTCACTTTAACGTGTATTCAGTTCTGATGTGCTTTACTCCATATTTCTCATCAAACAAAAATAATTAACATCCATATCTCCATGAGTCTTCATTGAACACTAAACTGATAAATACTTGATATGGAGTGATCAGATGTGTCAACAAATGAGTCCACAGCTGTATTGAATATGCACAAAGTCAGATCCTTTTTCCGATCCTGACCTGTTGTACAGGTGTTATAAGTGTTTACTGAAAAAAAGAAATCTCCTCCTGCTTTTGTAAACAATCTGACGTATCACTCATCTTGAATCTCCACTGTGAATATTAACAGCGCATTATAACAGCTTTGTCTGAAACTGACCAAGTATAGCAGCATTAACTGACATTACTATGACCTTGTAAAAATAATAGTAGGTCATGCAGAGACATCAGTATTAATTTCAGAATGATTCTTGACAAGTAAAAATGACTCACAGAAGATTTAAGCCAGTATTATTAAACCACAAAGTAAACATTTTAAACCTCATAAATCATCAGGCTTTAAGGCATTTCTTTCAGATTGGAGAGTGTGATGTAAAAGTATAAATTCTCTTTGACCGGTCTTCATATCATTGAAGGATGATAATAATGAACATTTTGAGCTGAAGCTTCTTCTATGGTGTGAGAGAAAAAGTTCTATCAGTTGTTTTTCATGAAACCAGTAAGAACACATTTGAACTTACTGACCCAGAGGTTGCGTTTAAGAATGAATTTCTCATTTCCTCTTAAACTCCTGGATGTTTTTGTATTTCTTAAGTAAAAATGAAGTATGCATTTATTTGGAATCACAAGAAACTCTGACATGCTCAAATATCTATAACTTTGTTACAGTGTCCTAGAACAGAGAATTGTATTTTGATCAAGTCCTGCAGATAAACTGATGTGATCCCCCCGCTCAATTTTTTTTAACGATTCAAATAGGATTCACGATTCACGATTCAAACAGGCAACAGAATAAGATTATATATATATAAGCTCTGATGATTCAGGTTTGACGCATGTATTACAAAAATCAAGCCTTGGGCCTATAGCGTCAAATATTTAACAGATTGAAACAAATTCTAATGATGTGTATCAGATTACACTCGTGTTTGTCACACAAGCGCACGAGAAACTGAACTAAACTTTATTCTAAAGCTTCTTATGTATTCACAGCATGAACACTCCCAGGCATAAAAGAAGTATTGAGATTTCTTTCTTAAGTAGAAACATTAATACAACATTATAAAGAATTATTTGTTAGAGGGTTAAGCCCACCAGTCAGAATTGAACAGGAACTCTGGAACAATAAGCAGAATGTGTTAAAACTGAGAGCACAGAAACAGAAAATAGTACAAGAAATAACTAATATTGTGTAAGCTACATCTTAATGTTTTGGCTGTTCCTGTCTTGGGTAGTTTACTCTGAAGTTTCTTCTTCTGACAATAGCTGTAAAGTAAAGTTTTAAGTGTGTCAAAATTCAGCTACAGATCAGAAGTTTACAGCCTGAGGTTCATCCTTTCTGTTCGAGTCTTGTTTGAATGTCTTTAAATATCAGAAACATCGCAGTCAATACACAAAGAGAACAAAAACAGGTTTTTGCTTTTTATTGATAAATTATCATTTTAAAAAGACCCACGTCTCCGCTCCTTCATCCTCTCATTACAGTTTTCAAAGTACTGAATTTGAACTATTTACAAAGTTTCTTTTTATATATTTTCTCCTTAATCATCGTCATCCTCATCATCATCATCACATTCAAAACAAGGTTAGAAGATTGCAGACTGGTATAGGTCAAGAGACAGGATGCTGAGTTAGCCTACAGCAATCTAGCTAGCTAGCACAGAGTTCACTGGAGGTCAGAGAGCAGCAATAGAAGCGTCAGGAGGAGGAGGAGGAAAAGGATGGGTTACATTCTAACTCACAGGTAAAAGGAGCAAAGACAAGAGCATCAAACGCTTCAGCTAGCTCTCTGAAACAGGAAAGAAACACAACCCCGGTGGCAGGACATGCAAACATGTTTTCATGTTCCCTCAGTGAGACGGAAACAAAAAACGCAGCAAAGAACACAGGGAGGTTCAAATCAAAGGGTTATTGCTGTTTTGAATGAAAAGCTGCATGGCACAAAAAGAAGGAAATACTTGAATAAAAACACACTCCTGTTGATCTGATGCTCTACTGGACTAATACTGGGCAGCAAAGTTGGCACACGTGGGTATTTAAGGAGGAGTTGATCATGTCGACAGTTAAAATCATATAGCGATACTATGTCAGTGTACACAGGCAAAGGTTACATTACAGTATATGGATCTGCAGCTGGAGTCAAACTAGCAGCGACAAAATAACACAATTGCATATAATCGTAGTGCAATGGGAAAAACAAATCGTTAGGAGGTCGTCTCATTTTGGTCTGGTACGAGTCAAGAGTCAAGTTGTGGAAAAATTAAATTAAATAACTAGACCAGAAAGACCAAATCCAACCAGCTTGCCAGACTACTTTTACAACTAAGCTAATTTTGGCATTCATCAAGGCAAATCACAGTTTTTATTGAAGGTCTTGATTCTGGATTTTGATGGATTTTGGCTAAACCTGGACCTGGATTTGAGTCGATGTGGACTGATTGACACACAGTAGGTTTGTTCAGTGAGTAAAACTTTCTAAAAACACACACAAACAACAACAAGATGCATCCCCCAAACAGGAAGCAACCCTCCAAACGTACAGTATCTCTCTCCAAACATACTCTGCAGGCGCTCCACTCCGCTGAACATGACTGGGTTGAAAATTTGAACACGATGAAACAACTTAAAGTGGAGGTCTGTTCTCCAAGCCGTGCCACGCCGAACCTGGAACCCCCGCCTCTAGGAGAAACTGTTCTCGGGGTAGCTGACTTTGATGGCGCCCCAGTAGCAAGCTCGTACCAGACAGATGAGGCCCAGCAGGTAGGCCAGCGCCCAGGAGACGTAGGTGGCGTTGTAACGGACAGCGAAGCTCCGAGTGCCCACCTGTGAAAACAGAGGAAAGGTTTACATTGATCAAATATACAGCGAGTAGAAACATAATCAAGACCTTTGACAGTTACATTTCACTTAAAACAAAAAAACATTCATGTAATTTCTTTTGGATGTATTTTTCTTTCCAGCCTCACAAAAGTCCTCTAGTTACAGACATATTTACTTCAACACGAGTCCGTTTCCTCAACTGATTCCGAGATCTCTTTCTCCTGTCGGCAGCAGCCGTCTCGCCGCTATATTTATATTTCCGCCATTATCAACTTTCTCCATAGCTTCCAAACAATATGGCGGACGTTAAGTTTTGATTCTGGGAGTGAGTTCCCACCCACTGATCTGTGATTGGTCTGTAGCTTCAGTGGTCGAAAATATGAAGAACTAGCGTTGTAGTTTCACACCGCTAACCGCAACAGCTTCCAGTGACGCAAAATTACCATTTTAGCGTCACTGGAAGCTCCTTTTCAGACTCAGAAATACAAAGATTTCCCATCTCAGGGGAAAATGAGGGTGGGATGCACGACCATTCAAAAATACTACCAGGTTTCTAATGACACAAAGATTAATGCAAATGGGTGAAGTATCCCTTTAAGTCCTCTGATAAAAAGCAGAATAGAAGTCTGAGGTTGTCAAAGGCTTTATTAAGTGTAGGGAATCATTTTAGTCAGACCTAATCATTGGACAGCTCACCTGCCTGTCCACCTGTCCACCTTCTTTGACTGAAACACAGCCGTGCTAATAATCAGAGCAACAGAACTCCCTCCTGTCAGATATATTCTCCCCAACACACTAACCTGTATTCAACCTGCACCGTAATCAAAGCAGAACTTGTTCATGTATTTCGGGGAGGGGGGAAATCTATTTCTCCCTTGCAAATTGTGTTTTCTAAGTTTCCTTCCAAAGCTTTAAAATGAGAACTATAATCCCCTGAAATCATTAAGAAGTGATTATAATTCTAATATGATTTTGACGTGACTCAGATATACTGTGAGAAACGGAACAAGTTGTTTTTGTTTACTGAATATTACAGTAACAAAACATGCCAAAGAGTATTCAAAGTATTGTAAGATTATGCACTCATGACTTCAGTATGACTTTATTACATTTATAAAAGCCTATATAGCTCCTGGAATGCGACAGTGGTTTATTTGACTGACATTGTTGTGATTACTTTAGATTTCCTTATATATGTTAAAGTCCCCATGAACCTGAACCTTGACAGTATCTACCTATCGTGTAGTGAAGTATTAACTATTGAAATGGGATCGAACCAATCACAAAATAGAAGGTGGGACATGGGGTTAGGGAGGAATTTGATTGGATGGCCAGGTTCGACAAAGCAATTAGCATACGCTCCTCTGTCAGTGTAGGATGAGTCATTAGACATTTAAAACATTTTACAGACAGAGAAAAAAGTTATTTTGATTTAAAAGTTCTCCTATATGCTTTATTAAAATGTATTTGGCAGATAATTGCAGCTAAATGAACACTTGGATTAAAACTGGGAAAATGTATTTTTAATTCCACGGTGACTAAGGACTGTTGACACAACACAGACCTTGTTGTTTGTTTCCTGGTTTGCTGAAAGTCCTCTCAGATTTTTTAAAGTTCTTTAATATGGTATTTCATGTTAGCTTATACACCTTTATAGTAATAAATAAGGGCTCCTTGCTGTAACTGCTTGCTCCAGTTGTCTAAATTTATCAACACAGCAGCAAGTGTGCAGAAGAAGCTAGTTCAGGTTCAGTTAGTTTTAAGAGGCTACTGGTCCAGTGAAAGAGTAGAGGCTGTAAACTGGACTTTTGGTGCTGATTAGCTAACGTTAGCATGTTGAAATGCTAATATAACACATGGAAGAAACTTTTAAACAACAAATTCATCATAACATTGTCATTGTTAACACGTTGTCATGCTAGCATTAGCTTAATCTCAAAGCACGGCTGAGCTAAAAAACTGTTAAAAGTGTTAATATGTCTTTTGAGTTTGGTCTTGTTTAAATAACCTCAAGACTCCCTGATGTTCCCACTCTTTATCTGATGAGTTCATGATTGTGATGTGATGTATTTCATTGTCACTTCAATTGTTGCTGTTTTTTCCGTGTCTTTCAAGTATGTTTGATATGTCCACCTTTCATTGTGAAGATTTATTTTGTTTGAAATGTGTTACATACATAAATATGTCTTTAAGTCACACTTAAGCAAGAGAGAACTTACAGTTAAGCCCACTCCAATGAAAATGCAGATCAGTCCTATTGTAACATAAGCACAACAGCGCCTCCTGGGAAGTGCACTGCCAACAGAGGATCTGTGGAATGAGGGAAAAAAGGAGATTTTTTAAAAAGTGAAAGTCAAATGAAACACGGATGGTTTCCAGGACAGAAATTTGTATAAAGAAGAAACAGTTAAAATATTTTTTATGGTACGTCAGTCATTTTCAGAAAATATACTTTTCTTCTATTATGGCTGAAATGACAACCCTGCTATGAATATTTTCTCCACAAGTAGAAATATTTAGCATAAAGATCTTCTTGCTGCTTTTTTTATCCCAAACTTTTCCCCACACTTTTCACTCTACAGCTCCCTCTACAATCCTGGCTGCCCACAAAAAAATCTCTGTTCCTTAGTTTACGTAACACATGAAAACCCAGGAGACCGGTCACATGAGCAACTCCCAACACTTTCAGACTCCGATAAACACTCGACAAGTTGACCGCCTTAAAGCACCAGACTGAAATCTGTTTTTTTTTCTTTTTCCTCGCCCCCATTATTATTTCTCTTTCCTCCCCCTCCTCCACTCACATGCCTCTCATGTGCCGGGACTCAAGCATCTCCAGGAATGCTGGTATTCAGGTGGCCTAAGGGGGTTTGATCACCTGATTATTTTACCTTCTCCTATAACGCCTTTAACCTCCTCCTGCTTCCACATTTCCTCTGTGTTTAAATCAGTTTTCACATATGTACCACCTGACTCGACTCATTTGTTGGAATTTTGCCATATATGGAGCCAACCTGCTTCAAAAAAAATATGTTCTTTAAAGATAAAAGCTGCAAAAGGTCAGTGGAGATCATTTGCAAAACCAGATTAAATCAGGCAAACTCAAATGTATCAGACCGACTCGGAACAGCTTCATTAAGACACAATATGAGTACGTAATATCTAAATGGGGTTTCCCTTTGAAAAGATGACACTAAACCTGAAGTTAGCCGTTTCTTCGGGCATCAAGGGAAAATCTTTACAACAACTGTCACAGTTTTGACTTTCTTTACAGGGGAAAAAGACTTGGTGGGGATGTTTGGAATCGGGGAAACCATTTTTTTTTTTAAAGAAAAGCAAATGGAAATAAATACATTTAAGGAGGAAAGAAAGAAAGATGGAAAAAACCCACGGAAATTGACAGCCAAAGATATTAACACTTTTTTTTAGAAACATATTTCCCCCAGGAGAGAAAATACTTTGCTTATAGATAGTGTTAAAATTACAGTAGAAAATCTAAGTTATTTTTCACATGATTTAATAATATTTATGATAGTTTAAGGACAAGATATCGAAGTTAAAGTCACATTGAGTTAATTGACATATACGCCAATGATGTGATGATTTATACTGAAGGTTTGTTCTTCTGTAGAAAATGTTGTTTCAACTTTGGAGTGGTATATTTGGTGTTTTATGAGCTTATGTAGACTTCTCAAATGTACATGTAAAAACAGAGGAAAGGGTGGCAGAACAGAAACAAAGATGAAGAAACACCATTTCTTCATTTTCCATGCCCTTCCACCACCCCTGACCTCTGGCAACCACCCTCTCCTTTCCTTGTACTGAGGCCAGGCACTAATTCCTGTCACCTGCTAGATTAGCCTCCATCACCCACCCTGCAACTCCTCCCTCCAAGAACTACGAAGTCCAGACCTCTAAAGCTCAGCAGCTGATTACGAGGGAATGAGCCACAAAGTAAGTACTTTAAAACTACAACCGAAATGAGAGCCAGGGAGCTGAAAGTCAGAGTATTTTCGTCTTACAACCCTGCTTGGCTGAGAGTTGTTGCGATTGTGTAAAGATGGGGATTTTTACTTCCAAGAATCTGTTTTTTTATTTTGCTTCTCACCTTAATTTAACAAATTGTTCAAGATTCAACCACCACTACCTCCATGATGTTTTGTTTTTAACTTTGTAAAGCACTTTTTAATGCTTTATGTATGAATGGTGCTCCGTGAATAAACTTGCCTCGCCCTACCTCCGGCCTACTGTCCAATTTTATTAATGTGGCTCCAACCACTGACAAGATGACAGTGAGTGAAAAACAAAATCTAAAACAAATCATTCAGAAAAGCTACGGGCGACATCCGATCAAAAATGGGTTGAAAGAAGAAAAATTGTTGTGAACACTCTTGAGTTTCAGGCCTTTGAATAACAAACACCTTGATTTTTAAAAGTCCATTCTCTGAAAATCACTCAAACTTTACATCACTTTGAACCAATTTAAAGTCACAGAGAAGACACACAAAGTTGAATCATGAGTAGGAGTTGGAGTGAGACGTTTGTTTGTGCAGCACAGTGTAGATCAAGTCATTTGGACAAACAATCTAACACTTGCAAAACTTTTAGCAGACATACTTCAGCTGCAGGTCCCCAATAAGATTACATTTCAGCCATTGCAGCACATTTAACCTAGTTCTACTTATGCATTTCCAAAAAAAACGATTCAACCTTTTCCTCATTTAGAACCCAAAATATATAAGAATATGGCACAGGTTTAAAGTGACCAGAATTATCCAAAAGCATTTCTTGAAGGTGACATTATGAATATTCACTTCTAAAATGTTGTAAATCTTCCAGGAAATAAAACTGCTAAAATATTAAGTATGCAGGTTTAAGTTGGAGCTTTACCGTCTCTGAATACGGAAAATTATTCAAGTTTTCAAAGCTATCACGTCAAATAAAAGCTGTGACTGAACAACCAGCGAGATAGTGAAAAACATTTGATGGACTCACATTTTTTTGCAGTGGGGACACTTGGCTAGCGTGTTAAACCGAAGCTCCATCCACTGTGAGGAAACAGAAGACGTTAGATTATGATGGACACGGACACACACACACACACACACACACACACACACACACACACACACACACACACACACACACACACACACACACACACACACACACACACACACACACACACACACACACACACACACACACACACACACACACACACACACACACACACACACACACACACACTATGATCCTTCTACACCTTCTGAGAAATCAACACAATACCTACAGGGAATGATTGTACATGATCAGTTCTCCCGTTATGCACCTTGTAATTCATCTATCTTACATTGTTTTCAAACTCAAGGAGGGTTGGCAAATTAGCATAAATTATTTTTCACATGATGTATTAGTTAGGATTGTAAATACACGTTTTTTTCATTAAGGGTTCTGATGTAAGGGGAGGAAAAGCAGTGTCATGAAATAATATATTTATTAACACACAGATCAGCATAGTTTAAGGTCATATTTACACAAGTGTCTTATTTGACTTTTGACGCCTGGCTTTAGAGGGGAGTGTAACATTGAACATCACACCCCACCCTCTCTCTCTTTGACTGAAGCTCTCTTCAAAGCCAGATGTCCACAAAAGTCCCATGATCACCCGTGTAAATAAGGCCTAGGATTGAACTCGGGTTAGGCTGTTGTTAATTTTTTCCACCAGTGTCGTCAGCTTCCTGAACCTGTTGCTGTGGTGGCGGGGAGCCATCGCTGGGAACACCAGACATTGGCTGAGATGACCTGGCGTCCTCGCTCCCCTACAGACGCCGGGCAAGCGACAATGTGCACACAATTAAGAGGACATTTCCAACTCATTTGACTGCTGTCATAGTTACTCAATACCTGATGTTCTGCACCTTCTTCCCTGCAGATAAACCAACTTCAAGGTAAAAAAAATACTCATAGTTTCCTCATCACAGGAGATCTTATTTCAGATGGGAATTCATTTACAAGAGCAGTGACCACACTGCATTGAAGCCGGGTTTCTAATAAACCAGGTAAGAAAAGTTTACATGCAAGCCTGCTATGACAAACATCAGATTCTGTCAGAATCTGTAATTTAATGGAGGTTTTCATTTCCACAGAATAAAAAAAAAAACATCTAATAAGCTCTCTTGTGTGCTGGGGACTAACATGAATAAATTCTCTCCTGATATACAGCACAACAAGCTTTACAACTCAGAACAACTGTGCAACTGTTCTATAATACCCATACCCATCGATAAATATTTAAAGATTACGGCTCTCAAGATTATTTAATATGCATGTACCAAACAACAGCACAGAAAAACAATCTGCATGAACAACTCGTTTTTGTTTTGTAAGGGTGGTCCAACGTACCAGGAAGGTGTTGCCACAGTGACCACAGACCACTCTCATCCCTTCTGGCTGGATGGGCAGAGCGGGCTGGGCAGGCTGCTCCTCTGGGATCACCATCACCGGGCTCAGGTTGATGATGCGTCTGCTGTCGGAGGGGAAAAAAAAAAGAAAAAGATAAAGATACGTTTTAGTAAAATGGGGAGCTGTATACTTGGGTTTTTGAAAAAGAAGAAAACAAGAGGCTGAATTTGATGCCTGCAGCCTACCAGTTTGGTCGAGGACATCCTATCCTCCGGGATGTGTCTTTACAGATGAGCAGGCAGTTACAGGGACACCTCACATATTTCTTCCCTGTTGGAGGGTTTTTGATGGGCTGGAAGACAACACATAAAAGTCAGCTGACAGGAGAATATATCAGCAGTCAAATAAAAAAAGGAATACATTTTAATCACACTCTTATCAGAGGGGAACTTGGTCATACTAGTTTAGGTATCACATTGATATTGCAAAGTAAACATTGTATCGCAACATCTCTACATATAGAAAAGTTAATGTTGTAAATTGTAAATTAATTTGAACTTCTTTAGTGCTTTTCTAATCTGACTACTCAAAGCCCTCTTACACCACAGGTCACACCTACACATTCACACACTGATGGCAGAGGCTGCTATCAGTATAAACTAATCTCATTCATGCACATTTATAAGCTGCCAATAAAGCAGCGGGAGAAGCTTAGGGTTAAATGTCTTGCCCAAGGACACATACAACATGTAGCTGTAGCAGCTGCTGCAGCCTAGGATTGAACCCCCAACCTTCCAGTTGATAGACAACTGACTCTACCACTAAGCCACAGCTGCCCCTTATGTCCTCTTTCATGCTGTATTTGTCTTCTGAGAGACATTTATGAAACAGATCATTTTTCACACAAACATCTGCAGAAAACTGTTACAGAAAATAATAAAGTTATGCTGATTTAAAGAAATGTCCAGCTTGTCTTATATAATAAATTGCATCTCGGAAATGTTAGATGGTAGCATTGAGGAGCCAAGCAATATGAACCATAAACTGTGATCCATTGTAACGGAGCATCATACAGGTTTGTAGATGCATTTAAGCACCACCCATATCCACCACCAGTAGAAATGGCTTTTCCCATTGGATTAGATGTGATGACAGCAAACTACTCTGATGCTGTCTCTATGATTGCTTCAACAAAGGTGACACGTTCACATCATATGGAACGATGATAATTAGACTGAAGACGAACATCTAAAAGGGCTCTAAAGGTGGAAAATGTCAAGACCAAAAAAGTCAAAAACATTGGAATAAAAATGTTTGTTTCCTTAAATTACACACAAAAGGACGCTGAACAATAATATAAATCACTTCACTCAGCTGGTTATAACAGTGGTGTGTTTGTGTGATTAGATTGCTGGATCAATGAAAGATTTATTGACTTCAATAAAAGATGAAATGACAGCAGCAAAGGGCAACCCAGATAAAAAAAAACGATTTAATGCTGTTACTCAATTTGACAGTGGGACAATTACGACTCAACAGCAATCTTCTCCACGTACCGTAGCTTCATTGCAGACGGTGCACTTGACCACATGCTGATGCAGCTTCCCGTCGAGGTTGATGAGCGACTGGCAGACACGGCAGTTGATGACGGGCACGCCGCCGGCGTCTGGGCTGGCGATGGCTGTGTAAGGAGGAGGTAGTTCGGCTTTGAGAAGAGGAGGGTAAGAGCACATGACACACAGCCAGCTGTTAACGCCATGCATGTGTAAACACTTCATGACAACACCTGGACCTGGGACCTGTAGTTTGTATCCTCAGAGACCTGCTGGCATGACAGAGGTTGGTTTTGTAATCCATGATGGGATTATCCAGATTGGTTATTTTGTTTGAAACATCAATCATCGCTTTTTGATTTGAGTTTCAAATTCACTCAAAATGATTTCCCCTTAAAGCTCCTGTGAGGAAGTTTGAAATGTTTATCAAACAGACTGATATTAAAACTGATGCCTCTTAATGACTTAAAAAAAAAGGAAACAAGACCATCAGCAACAAGATTGATTATTTCTTTATCCTCATTTTCATTGCCTAAAATGAATATGGTGGGGTAGGTGCAGATAAAAGGGATGAACAGTCTGCTGCAAAAACAGCTCCTTTTAACTTAACACATATGACGTTGTGGATCAGGATCATTAAGATTTATGACATGAATAGATATGAATCAGTTAAATATACATTATGTTGGTAATAAAAAAAACAATTTACTATAGCTGACATAACCAAAGAATAAATATTTACATAAAACCAACAGAACATGAATCAGCAGCCATCCATACAACTGACTAATCTGTGGGTTTCAAACTGATAAACATGTTTTATTCTGCTTATAAAAAGTGTTTTTTTGTTTTGTTTTTGCGACATTGTAGAACTGTTAAAGGAGCAATATGTAACTCCGATACCTAGCGTTCAAAATGGGTACTGCAAGTCCAGATTCAAAACATTACTGTGTCCCCCCCCCACCCCCTTCTCTCTAGAGTCGATGCACATGTGGGTTGCCATGTTGTGGACATGGAAGCTTCAGTGTTTAGCCAGCCCTATTGGTCTTGAAACCTTTCTGCGTCCTTTAGCCTCTCTCCATTTTTCAAATATTTCTGGTGGTGGAGTTTATAAGAAAAATACTGAGGCTTTTTTAGGTCCGGTAGAATCAGTTGTATCTGATTGCTTCACTGTTGCTCAGAAAACTGAGGGGTGTCCAAAACAGCCGCCTGGGGACTACCTTCTCTGGTCAAAACAAAAACAGACCATTCTGTGCCAGAATTGAAACGTAGAAGGAGGACATACTGGCTACACTGCTGTTGTCAGAGAAGCCAGCACTTCAACACAGCATGTTTCCTTAATGTCTGATCAGATAGTAAGATCACTTTATCATTTCATTCAGTAAATATCTTACATATTGCTCCTTTAATCTTAAAGTTTTGAACTATAGATCAGATCAATATCAAGACATTTCACTGTGTCACTATCACACCTGTTTTTTCTCCCTTCTATACATTTTCAAAACGTAAAAACGTGATGCATCCTTATAAAACCCCAAACGTATACAATGGAGCTGTTGCCTAACAAACATGACTTAGACTTGTTACCACCAGGACTGATTTTCAAGAATGATCTAATGTGTCACTACAACTTAGTGTATACTGGAGGCTCTGCTGCACATACTGTATGAAAACCCATGACAGCCCTCTTACCACTCTGATGGCTCAACATGTGACTCTTTTCTCTTTGTCAGAGGCCCGGCAACCCCTCTGTATGTTAAAGAAATGAACAATGGGCTCTTTTAGATACCAAAGAGATGGTGCAGAAACCTCCCTCACTATCGCATTCTGAGAGTGAGATAATGAGTTTGGACTTACCCAATGCTGTAATGTTGCATTTAAGGTACATTTAAGGTGATTTGCATTTCAATGTATTAAAATTGCGAAGAGACAATCAACCAGAACTTTATCCAAATATATGTGAGTTTAACAACATGCTGTGGTACAACAAAGACTTTCACATTAGCATACAGAAGAATAATGCTGCATGCACCGCCTACACATTAAATGAACATTTTTAGACTTGTTCAGTGTGATGTGCAGCTAAATTTAAATGTCTCTGCTAATGGGGATAATATGCACCTACTTGTCTGGGTAAAATAAGAAACAGTCTCAAACAGTCTTTTATCTTAAAGGACTATGCAGACTTACTCCAGGAGCCGTTGATATGACCTCTGCACTGTTTAATCCTACATTTACATTGTGTAATTAGGCTACATTCCATGAGTTTTAATACACTAAATCCAGAGGTTAGCACCAGTCACCGCTTTTACTGCTACGGTAGTATCAATCTTTACATACTGTGAGATACTGGTGCCAATCTAACCGTTGAGTTCAACCCTGAACACTCAACAAGTTTCATTCTTCATTCTAATTTTCTCTGGAAAAGTATCTGATGCTATACAGTGATGACTCAGCTAAAAAAGAAAAACATTACAACACAGAAAGTAGAAGAGCTGCTTTTCTTTGGCTGATGGAAAACGGAATGAAAACTGTTCAACTGGTTTATTGACAAAAGAGGGACATACTTTATAAAGATCCTTATTATTAACATCTTATTATATAGACCACACAATTATTCAACAAACAGGTCGAGTGAGAATATAAAAATCTATTTGTTGTAGCTTGAGAGACATTTCCAATACAGTATGAGTGTCTCTGGTAAATGATGAGGCAATAATAAGACTGATCTCTGTCTACTGGCCAACCACAAAGGAAGCATCTTATTTAATGATGACCTTCTTATCTCAGTCTGAGGGAGATAATGGGACGAGTCAACAGGTGAACACACTTGGCTGTGACATTCAGAGAAGCTTAACATGTTGACACCACAGGTACAGACGAGCCAACAGAGTCGATTAAAGTGGCTCCAAAACACATGCAGAGAGCGTGCTGAAGAACAGACCCTCCTCCTGTGTGCACAAAACATTTTCTAAAACTTGAATTCATCTAAAATTTAAAACAGAGTAGTCTCTTTTCTTCAACCATAAATTCTTAATAAGAGACTCAAGTACAACGCTTAAATTAAAGCACAGTCAGCACTTCTCTCCACTCTCAGCAGAGGCCTGTTTGTGCTCTGCCGTCCTAATGCATGTCTGAAACTGAATATAGCAGCTATAGATTTCCACTGCAGCTCCCATCAGAGCCACAGGAAACACGAGAAGACTACAACCACCAGCAGCACAACCACAACACACAGCCACGAGCATGACCTGCCCAGCTGCCTGGTGCCTTCACTGACCAGATGACTGTGTGGGACTATGGGCTTTGTGGTCAAGAATCGCAAAGTGAGAAGCTGGGGTGTAGACACGAGCTGCTCAGGGAGTTTTCAATTTTGTCGTTGCACATTTGGAATAAAACTCTAATTTATCTTTAAGGGTTATAGAGGATAAGACTAGTGTTAGTTCCTGATGGTTAAACAATGAATTAGTCAGTTTCAGTGCATTCTGACTGCCCACACATTCCTGCTGAATATGAAAAATAAATCAGCAAAAAGAAGGTTTATTTTTTACAGTAAGAAGAATAGGTACCCCATAGACAGGCTGAGAAAATATTACCTTAAAAGGAGCTCTTGTGTATTTGTTGGGGACTAATTTCAACTGCGGATGAATACACGTTTGATATTCCAATACAGGGCTGAACGTGAAAAAACATGATATTGCAAATAAAAAAAGTGTTAGATGATTGTGATAATTATGTACATAGATGATCATTAGGGATGATTTAAACTGCTGATTTTGCAGTTTTGTTACTTTGTTTAGTGTTTATGAAGCATAGATAATACAGGTTGCCCAATCACAGATGCTATGTCGTAACACGAGTCCAAATCAGTTACAAGATGATGCCATAGGAGGTCTTTGTGTGATGTTGAGCTTTTTTTCCTAAAGGTTTTTAAACTAATAATTCTGGAGTTGTTCTCTTTTTTTTTTTAGCCAATGCTTCCAAGTGAAGCCAGCAGCAGACAGCAGAACTATGACACAGATAAATGTCATAAAATATGAGTTAATGTACCATTAACGTCAGAATGAAGTGCATTTTTACCATGTTAGCATTTATACTGGTAATTTCATGTAGAATATGACATGGGAAAAGATAAGGGCATGTGTGAATGACTTCAGGGCTCATGTTGGCTGATTCTGAGAGATGTCAGTGAGGGACAAAAATGGCGCTCCATGGTAAGGAGGACAGTATTACATATTACCAGACTTACATAGTAAACCCGGGTAAGAAACCCTGCTGTGAAAAGCTACACTGTAAAACATTAGAGTCAAAGGTTGGCCTCTGGTTTAATGTTGTTCTAAGGATGTGTATTTTAATAGAATTTGTTAGTAAAGCTCTGGAAATGAAATCAAAGCTGACGAGTGATTCATCACTGCCATGATTTAAATCTCCATCACTGGCTTGGGTGCAGTCAATCTTGTGGTGACAAAATCAGACACAGCTCACACATCTCTAACACATTCAGATGCAACCAAGGTCATCGGTCTCCGCCCTTCAGCACCTCCTCCACCACCGGCTCCAAACGCTGAGAACTGGAAGAACAATACAGCAAAAAGACAACCTCTGCCTCCTTTCTCTAAACACAAACTGCATGTGGACTTTACAGATTTTGCAGTCACTCTCAAAAATAACTTCTTATACTCAGTTTCCCTAAATCGAGCCGATTATTCGTCAAAGCACCAAACACGGTCTTTGTTTTCTATAACAGAGCGTATCAGTTATGGTATTTGACTTTAATTAATCCATTTTACAAATGAGCTGACGGAGGATTGCATCCCCGAAATACCCCAAAGAAATTAGGAATTAGCTGGCCTGTAATCCAGACTGCGGAGAAGGGAGGGTGTATGAAGTATGCTGACGCTCACTGAGTATTTGGAGGCTAACATCCTAACAGGTTGTTGGTTCACAAGTTATTACAGTCCAGCTCAGTAAACGTCTTTAGGATTAATCTGGTGGGGAAATATGAATTCTGCAAGATTACACAACTTTAGAACAACAAAATGTTCTTTTTTTTTTTGCACACTTATTGATATTAGCCTCTTGTCCTGAGCTGCTCCCAGAAGAGTATTACACACAGTCAAAGAATCCATTCATTACGCAGCAGAACGAGCAGTTATGTGATGAGGCAAAAAAAAAAAAACGTTTTTCAATAAAAATAGTTTTTGCTTTTTCCCCCCCAAAGTTTCCCAGGATAAATGTAACAAAATGTTGTTCTTAAAAAAAGATTATCAGTCAGGTTGGAGAAAGAACAGATGAAAGAAAACATCATCCTTTGACATCTGGATGTTTTTTTTTGTAGAAAGAATAAAAGAAAGCCTCCCCAAGAGAGAATCAATGTTTGATCATTCCTGTCTCCAGTTTCATTAAAAAAATAAAAATGTGTGATCAGACTATTTTCAATGGAAATGCATAGCCCTGACAGTGGCTTCCACACTGAGCAGACAGATTTATGAGCTCTAATAGCCTGGCTCAGTCAGCCCTGTGTGCATCATGGTACCATAACCTACATTCAGCTGTTTACTGGGCAAAATGTGACAGAGTGTGTGTGTGTGTGTGTGTGTGTGCGTGTGTGTGTGTGTGTGTGTCAGCTTTCTGACTGCAAAATGTTGCACTCATTTTGTGCTGGATTTAAGATGAATGACAAGACACAAGCTAGGTTTACAAGGCAAGATCAAGACCAAATGTTTGAGAATAGGCCTAACCCGTTGTTTGATAAGTAACGGTATGACATAGTTATTATGCCCTGCTATTGGTTTGGACCTGTAAACATAACGTAAGGACACATTTGGGCATTTCTTCGATTGGCAGCTGGAACAAAAGGTTGCCTCTCCATCTGCAGTGGGTCATCTTCCCCTCGTCAATCAACCAAATAAAAGCCCACTTCATCCAAAAGTGAAGATGAGTGACACATCACGACTCGTATAAGTTAAAAACCAGAACCCGACAGGCCCGGTCGAGTCGTGATGTAGCCTATTCTGCAATAAAAAACAGATCTTGCTGTTATTGTAGGCCCCTCTTCTCTAACCCACTGCTCCAGTTCTCACAGAGCAAGCTCCACCTTTTTTCCTCTGCTGCCGATCCACTGCCCTTGCCTTTTGCTTTGCTGCAGTTTTATTTACGCACAAACCCGATACGCCCTGAAATGATTCAGCAGCATGCAGGCGGCGGGGGCAGCTCTGCATGCTGAGTGTGTTTACCTCGGGGGCTCGGATCCTGCAGGTACGGGGGAGCAGTGGGGGTCACGTTCTCGGAGTTCGGGCCCGACAGCAGCGGAGATCTCTCGTCCATGCCGTCGGAGGCCATGTCGTTGACGGTGAGAGAAGAAAACAGTGTGAGAGGCGGTGCGGGGAGGCTCCTGTCTGCACCGGGTCTTCTCTCAGCACAGAGGAGCAGCAGCAGCAGCAGCCCGGCGGCTGGTTGTTTGGTGCCGAGTTGATCCGGTCCAGCAGCCCCGGTGACGGCAGCCCGGAGGGGGAGGAGCAACGTGGTGATCACCGCCCCCCTTTAATGACAAGACCCGGGGCATGGTTACAGCTCTGAAACCATGAACATGGAGCTTAATTCTAAATATATTGTGATGGAATTTTTAACGTGTTATAAGATTATACGAGATTTTAGTTCATGATAGCATATATGATCAAATACAATGAAATGTATAAATAACGTAAAAAATGCTTCCCTCAAATCCCCTTATCGGACATAAGGATCCCAATGTTGTGTATTGATGGAGGGAGATAGTAGTAATTGATCCCTATTACCAGTTTTCACCACTAGATGTCACTGAGGTCTCTGCAGGTTTTATAGTTACTATAGTAAAGCAGTGGTGTGTTACTGCTGGTAGACTAGCCTCACCTGGTGGTAGCCTCGGCTACAACAAATACTTTTTTATATGAAAATGCAAATGTCCAAGTCCTTAATTTAAAGAGAAATATCATTTATTTTATTTCATCATATATCATGTTTAAATTGTGTAAAAAAAAAAAAAAAGACTGTTTAAAGACCTTAATGTTTTTTTTTTTTACTTCTGCCTGTGCAAAGGGAAATACAATGGACATTATGAGACATAGCATGAACTACAGCAAATGGTGAGTGGTATGGTCACACTTCACTGAAAAGTTTGGAAAACATCTTCTTCAATCATCAGGCCTAACAGACGTGTTATTCAAAATGTTTATAGGCTCCAAACCCTCACAATTAAAATGTTGTATAGCAGAAATCTGATTTCTTTCTGCTTCCCGATCACTTTGACCTCCACACCATCGCCCTGCTGAAGATGGCAATGTTTTTAAAAAAAACAACCACAGGCCTATAATGTTCATCTATTATTTCTTCAAACAACTATTTATTGGACACATTTTGCATTTCCCATGTATTTTTTTGGGTTTTGAATGTTTTTGTTCCTCTACTGAGGCACCAACATCTGGCTGCTACAAACAGCTGCAGACTAAAGACACGAGTATCTGTGGAATCAGGAAACTTAAAGTCCCACCCTCCTTTTAAGCTACAATGTTGATGTTTTACAGATTCCCACATCACATGTTGGGGGGGTGTGTTCATCTTGTCCAGTCCTGATCTATTACATCACTCATAATTGTTTGTTCCAAAACATGACTTCCATTCCTTGTTGCTGAAGTCAGTGTGTGAGGACAGGGCTATAAACTTATTTCCTGGGCATTTAAAGACCTTAATCTTTTTTTAAACTTAAAAAAAAAAATGTAACTACTAAATTTAAACTGATGGTTTGAATTTAAAAAAAGTTCATCTGCTTTGGGACTAAAAAATGTAGACAGATTTATTCTTGTTAACATGATTTTTATTGGTCTGTTTGAATTCTCAGGCTTGATGTCTGTATGTTAAGCACATTTTGAGCATAAATATAATCAAAATTCAAGCCTGGCTGGTCCTGGTTAGGACATAGGAAAATGGCTCATAAATTCCAGGACCATCACACCTCCTACTCCATTCACAGACTCACTTTGGTTGAAGACCTAGGATGTACAAAAAGCTGTACCCAGAAAAGTCCAACATTTTAGAAGAAGACTAGAAAGCCTTGGAACAGCATGCATTACAGCTATTTGCACATTTAAGTCCAGCCAACCTAACAAGCTTATTTTACCTTCTTTAGAGTCATTTTCCACACACTCAGATGGAAAGTGCTTGCTCCTGAGTCTGCTGCTACACGACTACAAAGCTGTGACTCATTTCGCCTGTAACAGTCTGCAGGCAGAGTCATTTTTTCCAAAGACTTCAGGCAGCAGAGGAGAGCCGCAGCACTCACACATACACAGCTTCTTCTTCGCTGGGATTTTCTTTGCAGGGTAAGACACGTTACTTACACGAGATTAAAACGGAGAGCGTTTTTTAGTAAGGAGGAAAAATAGGTTTAAATAAATGTATTGTAAGGAGTAAAAGTTGCAAGTAAGACGTAGTGGTGTCCCGTCAAGTTTAAACTTTCATTCCAACTGCTAGCACACAATAAAGCTCGTTAAAAAAAAGGAGGGATTGCCTGAAGAAAAAAAAACCTCGAAGTAAATAGTAACACCTAAATATGAGGTGCATATATTATTGTGACGCAAAGATTAATGTTCTAGATAGAGAAAATGTTATGGAGAATTTAGTCTATATGTTATATATATTTTTCTTTTAACCTCAAAAGTTGAACGTCAAATTATTTACACTTATTTAAAAGTTGATCAAACTTAAAAGCTGACAATATGCTGTCTAAAATCTTTGCTGGACAAGCGTCATCTCTCAACATACGCAAAATCGTCTGTCTTGTATTTGCACATACTTCCATGATTATGTCATCGTTGCTCAATAAAAAGGGTTGTTGCGCTTTTATTTAAATCAGGTAGTCTTTGGGTTTAATGTGTTGAGATGAGATCCTGAAGTGTGAAGAAAACAAAAGCTGGCAGGAGAAGATCAGATGTTTAGTAAATCAAGTCTGTCATGAAGCCAACAACTGTATTTTCAGCAATCACACAGCTGTGTGTGTGTGTGTGTGTGTGTGTGTGTGTGTGTGTGTGTGTGTGTGTGTGTGTGTGTGTGTGTGTGTGTGTGTGTGTGTGTTCCAGCAGCCTAACAAAGCCTCATACTTCATGTTTCAGACAGTTTGGAGATGCTCCAGGGGGCACTAAGCTGGGCCATGCTCTGCCTCTGCAGCTCCCTCCTCCTCGGGGATGGGGGGGCAGGAGCAGCAGGACTTCACATGTTTGGGGAACCAGAGCTGGAGGACTCGGAGTGGGGTTCTGGATCATCCCTTTTGCACCTGCTGCGCAGCTTCCCCGCTGACAGCCCCTTCATAACAGAGACCCCAGATAAACCGGTAAACTGCTCCCAGCGCTTTTGGCTCCCGCCGTCCTCTGCGATCTGCTGGGAGAACATCGCCGGGCCGGAGGAGTTCGCCAGGTCCCGTCTGATGGTTCTCCAGAACAGGGCCGCCTTGCAGGCTGTTTCCACGTCCAGTGGGGTGGAGGACGGAGGGATCTCATATGAACACCAAGCTAGAGAGGAGGTCCAGGGGATCCAGTCGGACCACCAGAGTGTGGTAGAAACTATGCAGACCATGGAGAAGGTGTTTGTCTCTCTGGAGGAGAAGAGGAAGGAGGGGCAGGAGCAGGGGGCGCTCACCAGGTGAGAAACTAAAGTCCAAGAACCATTTGTTGGATTAAATAAAATAAGAGATTGTGTGACAATACAGGAGTAGGAAAAAAGAGCTAAATTTGTTCATCGTATTTATAGCAGAAACAAAACCTTCTCTAGTTTTATAACACTTTCTTTAGACCCCCCCTTAATAGTAATAATCTTGCAGGTTTTCTTTTTGATAAAAGTTCTCAAAGTCCATACATATTGCTGGATGGTTACTGTGCCCACTGCCCACTGATGAAAGCCTTCAAACAATTTGTTGCTTATGACAATCCCCAGTAAAAAAAGTTCTTGAACTCACTTGAGTGTGTGAAGAAAAAAACTAATAAAAAATGCAGAGAGATGATAGCATACTTTAAAAAATCCTAAAGAAATGTCATGTCAAGAGACAAAATGTGATGCTTTTAAAAAAAGAAAAAAAGACATCCATCAGCAAAGAAAAAAGTAACCTGCAGTTACCACTTTCCGCCATAGGTGCCGCCAAAGAGCATGTGATCTTCAGAAACATTGCTGAAATAAAAGATGAGTGAGCAGTGACAAATAAAAACCATCATTGTGATGTTACTACTTCACCCCCACAATACAATATTATATCGAAATATATTCCAAATATCCCAAATTTACCCAAATAAATCCCCATAACTCCCTTTTTGGTCCACTACATCACAAAAATGTCCCACAATGCCCAACAAGTTTCCTTGACAGTTTCTTTCCAGTTGAAAAGCCATACAGTCATTATCTTTCTACTACACTGCCTCCAAACAAAACATTATTATCTGCAGCGTAGGTGGTAACAACATGGTTAAGTTGAACTGGAGCTGGTACAGACAGTATATTACAGGTTGTCTTTATATTTCTATAGAATACATGTAGATAAGACAAAAGCCCCACAGAGACTGGTTGGGGGTTTTTGGTTAATACTGGTTGATTCTTCCTGTGGGATTGTTCTTTAATCCCTGTAAGTGAAGCAGACATGTCGGTGTTACTCTTTCACCAAAACACAACATGGTTTCAGGGCTGAAGAGTGGAAACACCATCATAACAAGCAGCTGAGTCATGTCGAATGTTTTCCAGCAGTCATCTGTTCAGACATCTGGTAGAGCTGCAGCTCTGGCACAAACATGCTCGTAGAGAATCATTGAAACTAAATGATGTGTCTCTGTTAGATGTGACGGAACAAACTCCTACTCCTGGAATAAATCTTTTGATTATTAGAGTGAAAACTTGTGGTTTGTCCTCCCTCAAAGCTTGAGGAGAAATCTGGCCAACACCAGGGGTGCCATTGATGGAAGAGAGCAAACAGCAAACATCCTGGAGGATCATTTTTCTACATTAGAGAAGAATCTGCTCAACATGCAGCTTCGACTCAACAAACTCATCCAGCAGTAACAAAGACGAGGACCTGCTGCCGCTCCTACTTCCCTCATTTGTACTGTATGTATACATATTCATGTAGCTAATGCATGCATGCTCAGGATTATGCTACTTTGTAGTAGATTATGCACTATGTATTGTCAATAAACCTTCCTAAGTACCGTGTGTAACCTGGAATCAGCAGTGAAAAATAAAACTGGCATTATCAGGGAAGATTTGATGCATGTGATTTAAATCTTTAAAATATTTCTTTTCGCGATTATGTACAATATGGACATGTAATTAAATGATATGCAATACTTGTGAACCTTAGAACAGTCATCAATCCATCCATAATCTATACCGCTTTTCCCGTTCAACATCACATTGGTTGGAGCTTTCGTCCATTGGTTGGACCTCTCGTCCAACGAAAGCTCAGCTTTTATTGGACGAGAGGCGGGGTACACCCTTTATTAGAGAGACAGGACAGTAGACAGTCAGAAAATCAGGGAGAAAGCAGGGAATGACATGCGGAAAAGGAGCCCCGCTCCCCGGAACAGTTTTTAACACATCACACAACATGCATCCTTCCTGTTTATAAATGCATCTCTCTCTCCAGAGTTATCTAAAATCAATATGAGGCAGCAACATGACTTCAGACATCATGAATCTTTTTTTTAATATCAAACGTAAACAATTTTATTTGTACATATGAAGAAGATTCTAAATAAGGTGGTCAGCTATTATATACACTTTAAATAGTCACATCCGTTGGGACTCAGTGTGAGTTCTCATTTGGAAAGACAGCACGTTCAGTCGCCTTGTACTTAATCTGGAGGGAAAAAAAAACGAGGTATTTGTACTTTAGAGTGGATTAAACTCATTTCAAGTAAACCCGTAAAAACTCAAACATGACAATATCTTTAAGAAGAAAAACGATGTACAACTTAGAATCAGTAACGTCACACATTTCACTATGAAGTTACTTGTAAAGGTTTCTCATAATATTTTAAAGGCCAGAGCGCATCAGCAGCTGAGTGGAAAGGATGGAAATAGTGTTAATTTGACTTAGCCTAAAAATCTGCAAGCTGTTAAGGCAAACTATTTACACTTCCTGATTGTTGTAAGCATGAAATTAAAAAGAAAAGGTAAAGGAGTACAGGCTGAACGCACAATTGTTCTGAAATCATCAAATATTCAGATGTAATAGTAGAGTGCAGCATTTCTTGTAACAAACAGAGAAGTGTTGTCTTCTGGAAGGTGATTCATTAAAAACTAGGAAAGACAGGGTGGTTACATTATGATTAATCCAAGGCTGGTTTGTTTATGATATTGTTTCTGGTAAAAAAAAAAAAAAAGTTATCTCAAAGATTTGGTACTTTTAAGATCCACATAGACTCTGTGTTGCTGCTTTTCAAATGTGTGCTACTTGTTTTTTTCTCTTCTGTTTCTTACTTCTCCAGTGGACCCTACAGCTAAACTCTGGCGATCTGTTCAGAAGAATCTACGAAGTCTAGGGTTTCTCCTCTGCCAGCAGTCATGTTTCTCTCAATAAATGCCATTTTTAAATCTGATAACATCTGTCACGAAGTGGAATGCAGCCAGCTTCCTTCTTCAAAAGTCGGCCTCCTCGTCTTGCATGTCCTCCAAAGACTTGAGGTAATCTCGAGCCAAGATCTTCTTAGGCAGGATATCTGTCAGTTCAAAAGACAATTTGTCAAACTCGTCACATCTCGTCATCTTACTTTAAGCGTTCAACGTCATCCCTGATTGTCCCAATTTAATTAAACCATCAAGTTTTGAATAACATATTTTTTAAGAGCCAGGATAGGCTGCCAACGTACATTATCTGATGACATTCGACAACTAGGAGACAAATTATTATAGGCCTTATGAATGATGTAGTCAATGATCAATAGGGAGGGTTGAAATAGTATAGATCAAATTCAAGATCATGGTAAATGTAACTACTTATGCTGCTACATTAATACAAAAGATAGAATACATTTCATTGAATTATGATAAATAACAGACAGAAAACACTTTAGAGAGAGTCATGGGCTTGATTCAGCTATATCAATGATGGGCAACTTTGGTCACAGCAAGGGCCACAGTCATTGAATTCTCACTGCCAGGGGCCAAATTGTAGAATACAAAAACGATTACAGTCGATTATGTCTCAAATTAACTCAACATATACCAGTGATCAAATATTATTATGGACATACTTCTGGTTTTCATGATTTCATGGCAGATTTCATCATGTTTTCAATTAATTGATATGTAAAAAATTAACCTGAGGGCCACGTTTAAGGTTTAAGGCCACGCATGTGGCCCCTGGGCCGCCAGTTGCCCACCCCTGAACTATATGATTGTTTTAGTATGTAGTTTGAGGTTTTGAATGTATTGGGAGGACTTTTCTGGCAGGCTTATTTAGACCAATGAGGCCAAACAAAACACAATAAATAGAGCAGAATGTAGAAAAAGCAGAAACACTATCTTTCAGAGGATCACTGGATCAACACCACTTTGAAACACTCAAACTGTAATACCTCAGAAGGGTAGGATTGAAACGGAGGTATATTTAGTATAGATAAAAAAGTAAATGGTTTTGATAAGATTCCAGGTAACTAAAGTTTCAGTGTTAGATGGCTATTAGTGAAGAAAGGCCCTGTAGTTGTTTCAGGTTTTGTCTGGATCTCATCTCACCTGTAAGGAAGTGAAACGTCTCGGTGTCCTCTGCAGTTTGAGCCAGGTCGCTGTATGACAGAGAGTTAGAGTCTTTCCCGGCGCCGTTGTTGAATGAAGACACAGCAAGATGCTGCACAAACAGCTCCTGTAAAAACCACAAAGACAAGGAGAAACTCTCTGAGCTGATATGTTGTCAAATACTTCTTTACAGTTATCCGCACAGCTAACGAGCTAACCCATGCTAGCGGCAGAGGTAGCAAAATGAATGAGCTGCAAATTAGCATCACAGCGCTGAATTAGCATTAGACAGCAGCTTAACTTACTGTAGCCTTGGTGGTGAGAAACAGAGCGTCCTGGTTAATGCTGGACACATCCGGGGAACTCTTCATTATCAACCTCACCCTGGAGATCGGGAGGGAGATGGTTTTCTTGTTGGCCAACGTTTGGTCGTCTTTGTCGGGAGTATTTTGAGACATCTTCATGAGGACACGGCGGCAGACAAGAGGAACTTTGGAGTATTGTTTTGAACTGTGACGCTTTTCTTCTTCTGTTTCACATTGATTGTAGTTACCCGGCAATACACTGGACTATCGCCACCTGCTGGATTAAAGTTTTTTGGTAAAAAAACCCCCAAAAAACAACTTGTTTTATTATACCTACAGTCTAGATATGTATTATAACTTTATCATTAAAACATTGTACTCACGGGCATGTTCATACCATCATGAACAATTACGTTTATTGCTTCTGTAAGTAATGGAAAAAAGGTAAACAAAGGAGTACTTAGTAAACATGCAGATTTTATAAACTACCTCTTGTTTTCACGACAAAATTAGTTTTCTGTGATCCCTATATTACCTCCAAATGACCAACTTAATAATACCTAATTTAATTGTTATCTAATGCTCCACCTCAAACCACACAGATGACAAGTATGTTGCCGATTGGTTTTCAATTCTAAAATAGTTTTTTAACATGTGTCAATTTATTCCATTTTTTATCCTTTGCCAATGCGACAATACTATTTTTTTCAGGTGACAGGTCAAAGTAAATTCATAACAGTGTTAAAAGTGCAGAAAATACATGTTTGACAAGTTTTTGTTGGACACCCTCTGGAGAAATATTTTTTTTAGATTTACCTATGTTGCCAATTGTGTGGTTTTCTGTATAAATAAGACCACCTATTGTTTTAACATCGGAAGTTATCTTAGTCCTACAAACCGTTAGAGAAGTTATTTCTGATTAGAGGTTGAGCTCTGTGCCGTCTCCTCCTGTCCAGTGGAGGCGCTTGACTTAAAATAGCAAACCCCCGAAGAAGAAGAACCGTTGTCAAGAGAGCCAAAGAAGAAGAAACAGTAGAGTTAGCAATGGCGGTATGGGCAGTGATGTGGGTACGAAAATATAGAACCACTGTGGGATGCTGTCGTGATATTTGATGTTAATATTCTGTTATAATCTGTAGTTTGGAGTCTATTTGTTCCATACAGGAAACATTTTGCTCGTTGTCGTTTGTCGCAGTCTTCTTCGTTTGTTATTAGGAACACAGTTATCTGGAGCTGAACGAACAACCATCGTCTCTCCACTGAGTCCTGAGTCCTGTATTTACCTTTATCCTCTCGTCGTTTACTCACCACTTACCATGCCACTGGGTTTGAAACCGTGCTGTGCAGTCTGCAAGACGAATTCTTCGTCCATGTGGAAGAAGGGAAACCAGGGAGAGATCCTCTGCAACAACTGCACAGGAAAGAGCAGCAGCGGCGGAGCATCAGGACCCTCCCTGTCCTCCAACACTCAGCCCAGCAATGGCGGAGGAAAGCAGGTATGTTACTGTGTCAAAATCAGAATGCTTGAGGTTATTATGAAGGGAGTCTGTGGCCCCTCTTAAGAAGAGTTCACAGCACATTTGGTGATGTATGTTTACCAATCTGTTTTGTCACTATGGGGCAATAACGTCATCACCTCAAGCTAAATATGGACATAACGGACAGTAATGAAATGACCATCAGTCTACAGAAGACCATCAGTCTACAGAAGACTCTACAAGGGGAAATATCGCTGAATACATCTGTCGTTTCTTAGGCTACAGAGAGGCTTAGTTAGTTAATCCATCAACAGATAATCCACTGTTTTTTCAGTCCAAGCAGGAGATCCACAGGAGGTCTGCACGCCTGAGAAGCACCAAGTACAAAGCTCCTGCCTCCGAGAAGAAAGTGTCGACCAAAGGAAAGGGGAGACGACACATATTCAAGCTCAAAAATGTAACCATCAGCAAATTGTAGTTATTTCTCTTTTGCTCTGTTGTGGAGATTTGAATCTATTTGACCCCTGTGTGTCTGTGTGCGATCTTTCCTTAGCCAATCAAATCACCAGATTCTGTCTCAACAATCATCACGTCAGAATCAGTTTTTTACAAGGTATGGTGTCTATTCTTACCAATCAAAACATGTTCAATGTTGTTGCAGCAGTGGTGAGCTCAGCTGCTATCCTATGATGCATGTAAGAGAAGTATCTATGTGGTTTTCACTGTCAGATGTTTGTATTTGCAGGGTGTGTACTATCAGACTGGAGATGTGATAAAGGTAACAGATGAGGAAGATGGGAAGCCATACTATGCTCAGATTCGAGGCTTCGTACAGGACCAGTACTGTGAAAAAAGTGCTGCCCTGACCTGGTTAATCCCCACGCAGGCGAGCCCAAAGGACCTGTTTGATCCTGGGACATACATCGTTGGTGAGTCCTCCTAAAGATGTTAAATATCGTAGAGAAAGGGAAGAAAACCTTGATGGAGGGAAACATTTATGAATTTATGTAACACAGATCCAAGCTCCCTCAGTTTAACTTTAAGCTACTTCAAACAAACTGTAATACAAATGTTCTGTATTGTAAGTGTTATTTTTAGAATTTCCACATCACTGGGGGGACACAACCTTTGTCATCCTTATGTTGAATATAAAATATGTGTACTGTATGTTAAAATCTTTGTGATTTTTCACACTTAACTGTAATATAAATCAAGTATATCCTCTGAAAATAACTCTGTGAGTCATGACTGTCTACAATGGGTGTAACACCCGAGTCCCACTGTCTGTGATGTTTTCAGAGTTTTCAGAGTCCTATCTTCAGTTTGTTTACATCGCCTGGACGGCCGGCTGACTCCTCCCCTCGTGTATAAAAGTTGTTTAATTGAGGGACTAGAGAAAAGAAGAATAACATACTGTACTCACTGCTTAACTGTGTTTCTAGATCACGCTCATTTCAGGTAAATTTACATGCAGTGTGAAGATACCAGCATAATAAAGATCACTAGCATTAGCATGCTAACACAACAATGCACCGCGAGTTGTTTTGGTTTCATGCTGGTGCTCAAGGGCGACATCTGCTGGATCAAAAAATCAGATGACATGATGACAATAAAAAGTAATGAAAAAAAGAATATGTATATTTTTAAAAAAGAACTGTAATTCTTTCCCATTTTTATGCAATAAATAGACCATGTTACATGTTATGATGTGTTTATTCTTTGTTTTAGGTCCAGAGGAGGATCTGCCGAGGAAGATGGAGTACCTGGAGTTTGTGTGCCACGCCCCCTCTGAATACTTCAAGTCCCGAAGCTCTCCGTTCCCCACCATCCCCATGCTGCCAGAAAAGGGCTACATCTGGACCCACCTAGGAGCAGCACCACCAACCCCCCTCCCTGCCAAAGAAACTGCAAGCAGCAGCAGTTAACACAACTGTGATATGGACTAAGTCTGTTGCTTTTAAACAGGCGCTTGTACATTTATGTAGTATAATGAAAAAACAACAACAATGGTTTGTTGTCACATCCATCACTTCAGAAAGACGACAAAGGAGACTAAGTGTAAATACGTTTCAGAAAACTTCATTACACAGTTGCAGTGTAGAATTTACTTTTGTATTTACTAATAAACAGGAAAGCTTCTTTCTACCATGTCTATATAGTAGTTTTACAGTGATTGAGTTTCTCTGTGGACAGTAAATCAACATCAACTTGTTATTTTTTTTGCAGAACTGAGGCTTTCACATTTTTTATCCTGTAAAAAAAGATAATGTTAGCTAAGTTATACATTTCAGATCTGAAGTGTCACATTCCAATGCTTTCCAGGCATATTACAGCACATGGAATTCTTTATTTTCCAACTGCAAACATTCTCCTGAAAGAGAAAGACCTGATTAGCTCACCAGGTAAAGCTTTGCTTTTAAAAAAAAACAAACAAACTGTATAGCATCCTCTGAAGAAACAGCAGCACATAGTTTGTTCCTCAAACCTCAGTCCTTCAGCCCCCTGGGTCCACTTTCAACCTCCACTATACCACCTATCAACTAGTTTGTCACACCAGTTAATTTTTCCATCACATAGTAACTGTATTACCATTAAAACATGAATTCACACAAAATATTCAATACAAATACAGCTATATGTATAACTTATAATACACATGCCTCCGTCTTCAAAGCTTGATTTTTGCCTTTGCTGGCACCATTGTTTGTCTCTCCATTGTTGCCCATGAATATTCTATTTTCTGGCCGCATGAATACCACAGAAACATAACACTGTCTTACTTTTGAAACTCAGAACATTCCCTGAAAAAAGCTGAAACTGATCAGTTCACCTGTTAATGCTTTGTATTTAAAAGAGATATTAAAAAAACATTTGTTTAATCTTCTACAGAGATGAAGTATTTCACAGTCCTCTTTATTCAGTGTTTAGCAGATGGACAACAGTCTTCCATTAAGACCATTAAGAAATGATAAACAGAGGGAGAGAGCGGCACTATACTGGAAAGATAACTGCTAACTGTTAGGAATGTTTATTCTTGTGACGAGAGCCTTGCTCTGTCACCTCGGTACTCGATCTCATTTTTGCTCTAACTCTTTCTATGTTCTTTGAAGTCCTGTGTAAATGTGTTTAACCTCTGCTTTGCCTCCACACTGAAATAGTCAAACACAGTGAGAGAAATGATAGGATAGGATCGCACACGATGGTGTTGCCCCATTCAAGATGTCATCATCAGAAACCCTCCTATAATAAAAAATATATGAAGTGTTTTCACTTTTATTAGTTCATTGTGGTGAGGATACAGGAAGGAAACATTAGGGGTTGAATATGACATGAAACCAATGTCCTTTGGTGGAAATGAACTGAGAACATTGCAGTATTCTGTTTACACTGTGCATCTTATTTACAGTGAATTTATCCGAAATGAGTCTTTGATCAGTCAGTCTTTGATGGCTTCTTTTCTGAACTGATCCATCCACAGGTGTCCAGGTCAGTCACCTTTATTTGTCTTAAGCGGACTGTTCCATATGGGTTGCAGAGATAGGAGAACTTGTCAGGGTGAGTGTGGCCACACTGTGAGCTATCGCCAGAGCTGTACCGTTGACTGAATGCCTCTCTCCTTCCCCTGCACTCGTGTGTCCCACCTCCCACCCCCCTCTCCCCCCTCATCCTCGACCTCCACACTCTCTTGAAGCTGTCCGTCACAAAGCAGTAAACCACTGGATCCAGGCAGCTGTTCAAACTGCTCAGAGTGACTGTGATGTGGTAGGCAAGTACATGCCCCGCCCCCTGCCCCATCGCCTCCCCTCTGAGTTTCACCTGGAAGTAAACCAACACCTGCCGGACGTGGAAAGGCGTGAAGCAGATGGTGAAGACCACAAGGACGGTGGCCAGCAGTCTGACAGCGCGTGCCCTCCTCGCCCGGCTCTGCTGGGGCATCGGGCCGTGGCTGGTTGAGAGGAAACAGGCGACCCGCAGAGTGAACCCCACCACGGCCAGCAGGGGTAGGAGGAACTCCAGGATGGTGAGGTAGAAAAGGGCAGGAAGGAGCACACAGGAGGAGTTAAACTCCAACGCTGTGGTCTGTAGAGAGAAATACAAACATGTTAAGTGCTTTTTATACATCTTTACATTATATTGCAATCTTGCTCTTTTTCTTAAGTAGGGTTGCTCATTCGGTCAGGTATAGGGCGGCTCATTCTGATATGAAGGGTTGCTCATTTTGTCACCAAGGGTAGTATACACTCCTGTTCAATACAGACCGCCGATACTTCACAGTCAAAAACACCTAATGACACCTGCTCCACAAACCTACAAGTCACATTATCCCCATAAGGGACCCATCTCCTTATTAACAAACCATGCTGCAAAAAAAATGTACTGGAGCCCCTTCCTCCCCCTTTTGAAATTGTCCCTGCACAGTCAAACAGTCGCCTTAAAGAGTTGCCGATGTGTGTGCCTTCACCAGCTCTTTTCATTTTTAGACTGCAAACTTTCTCTTGAAGGAGGAGCACCTGATACGATCACCTGGCGACATGGGCGGTTCTAGGCAGGGGCCAACAGGGGCCAGTGCCCCTGTAACACAGATCTTGGACCCCCCTGTGGCCACCCATCCAAAAGGAAGGGTAATACTGTTACTGAAACAAATATACATCATGGTATTTGTTGTTATTATTTGGCATAATATATATATTTTTTTAGCGATCATCTTTGTCAATTTTTCATCTGGGTTTAATGTTCTCTCTGACAAAACAACTGGCCCCAGTTTGGCCCCTCAGTAAAGTGGTCTAGAGCCGCCACTGCCTGGCGATGCTTTTCCTGTTACAAGTGAGAAAGCGTACCCTGAATAAGCACATGGAAAAGTGCATGTATTTGTTTGGCTACTGCCTATAATGTCACAGTTCCATTTTTTTTTTTGTTCTTTCATGTTAGTAAATGTTTATTTTTTTACCTGAAAGGAATAGGTGACCACCACTGCAATGATCCATACTGTGGCGCTGACACACCTGGCTGTTCCTGTAGTCCTGCATTTGTGCAGAGTACTGGACGCATGGACGACAGCGAGGTAGCGATCTACACAGATACTGTATGAAGGGAAGTCATATGGATATATTATTATGTATATTATGTTGACAGATTTGATTCACTTTCTATCAGTTTTCAACGCTGACTTAAGGAGTGGCCCACCCACCTGGTCAGAAACAATATGCTACAGTACATGTTGACAAAGTAGCTGAAGGTGTGAACGTATGAGCAGGCCACACAGGTGCCTCCGCTGTGATACAGAGCGATGCGAGCGGGTAACGACAGCGCCACCAGCAGGTCGGCTACGGCCAGGTTCATGGTGTAAACCACAGAGGCTGAAGAGTGGGTGGAGGCCCCGCAGAAGACATAGAGGGCCAAACTGTTGAGGACCACACCGACCACCAGCATGAGACAGTTACACACCTGTAGCAGGCAGAGATATGAAGCATCAGCTCAATCAGTCACTGTTGATGTACTGCTCTGGTTGCATGTTCATTCAGAGTCAAACTGAGTCCAGAGAGCACAGACATCCATCATACAAAACTTTCAAACACTTTTTAAAATCAGTTCAGCAAAAGTTGATGATGAGGTTCTCCTATTAACTGGTGTCTTTTCTTACCATGAGAGACACCCAAACAGCATAGAAGTCTTGGTACAACCGGACATCTAGGTGAGCTAACCTATGCAAGTATGGCCCCCCCCAGCGCTGGTCCCAGGAGCTGCAGTTTGTCGGGGCAGGGGTAAAGAGGGGCAAGAGGGGCTCGGTGGTAGAACTGATGTTGTTGAGAAGGCTCTCCATTTGTGGAAAGGATGTTTGAGTGACAGGTTGTTTCCTGATTGTCAGAAAAAAAGAAGAACAAAAACAAGTAGATATTGGTGCATGTAGGCCGAGCTTTCTTTGCAATGAAGGGTTTTAGTTTCATCTGAACGCCATCTCATAGTCAAGGCATTCACTTAACAATTCTCCATGACTCTTGTTTGTGTTATAAAGGCTAAAAGTCACCCAATGTCACCACAATGTCTGAAATGTCTCAGAGAGAGAGGGGACTATATTCATCTTTTTTGGCAGTGTAAATACATATCACGGTTCTGGTCCTGTATAGCAAAAGAGCTTAGTGGCATTTTCAAAACAAAAGTAACCAAGGATCCCGGCCTCTTCCTACTTGGCCTGCCATTTAAGTTTTTGTCACTTTCCTCTCTTAAATTTAAATTGCTGGATAAACTGTTACTTTTGGCAAGAAAATGTATACTGTTGAGGTGAATCAAGGACAAACCTCCCACTGTTACTATGTGGTACAAAGAGATTTTTTCTGTATTTCCACACGAGAGGATTAGTGCAGTGCTGAGGGGCAATGGACAGTTATTCTTGATCACTTGGCAACCACTCATGGACTACCTCCCCGTGGAGAGTCTAGATCTATTGTCAAAAGGATTCTCTTACCTGAAGTCCTCTGGACTGAATACGGGCACTGGACATTCCCATTCAGGCTGAGGCTGGATTTAAATTTAATGGACTCTGGCAGGTTAATAAAACCTTGAAGTGAGCATAATGAGGAAATGGGGTATTTTATGTCCTACTTTATTTGCCTTTTCTGTCTGTTTTGGTTTGTTTTTTGTAGTGGTTGATTTTAGTCCTTTTGGTTGTGTCTTTGTACATGTCTTCTAACTGTTATATTGTTGGAAAATTTCAATAAAATTGTTATTGAATAAAGGCTAAAAGTCAGTAAGGATTGATTCCAGGTGTGTGTTGTTGCTCTTTATTTGATCATCTTCAAGAGCTAAGCTAATGACAAGAACTTTTATAAATACATTGTTGGCTTAAACAACACAAACTATCCCAGCTTGGTGAGCTGAATACCTGTAAGAAAGTTAGAAGTGTGCCGAGAAGTGGCTGCTCCAAAGCTACTCCAGACACAGAGACTTAAGTAATCCTGGTCTTACAAACAACACCCCCTCTTTACTAAAGAGACCAGCGCTCAGTCTTTAAAATGCCCTCTAAAAAGGATGTGACACTTTGAACTTCAGTTTAGCATGTGACCTCTTGCGTTGCTTTAAACAGTGCACAGTATCAAAGCAAACCGTGTCAGTGCGTGCTGCTCCTTTAACACACACGTGTTGAACATGATATATGTGTTTGTCTTAAAGGAGTCCCATAAATTTGATGAATGCGACACATCCTGTTTAAAGACGAGAGGCTCTAGAATCCTCAACGTGCAGACATGGTGCACTTTCAAGAGGTTTAAGTGAATGGCTCTATACAAAAACTCAAAATAGAAAAAAAGGAATTTTAAGGATGGAAAAAAAACAATAAGTGGTGGAAAATTAAAGTTGTATTCAAATCGATAAAAGACAGGTGTGCTGCAATTCACAAGTAGAATCACTCACGATGCAATGCTCACATTAGGTGTATCAGGTTTGATAAAGCACCAAATCCTAGAGATACATTTTTTTTTACACGTATGAGCTCATGAGCTGTTGATTAAAAAAAACATTTCCCTAAACAACACCTTTGCAGTTATCTTTAAAGTATGACTCCACAGACCCCTAGATGTCTTTCCTTATTAAAAGCAGAGACGGATGAGCTCCTGACTGTTAACACGTCCTGCCGAGAAAAGGTCTTTCCACTCTTCATCATCATACAGACAGTTAGATAAAACATGTCCAAGTGTCTGGATTTAACGACAGAAACATACCCGCTCACCCCCACATGGTTCCTGATCGTGCTTTTATTATATCCTCATGTTCAAGTTCTGGATGTTCCTCCTGATTTAGTGGATTCCTCTGGTTCCTCTGTATTTACCATTATATGCTCAAATTGGATCTTAAAATCTGAAATTGAATCTCTAGCATCCTCTGAACATTTAATTAGCATATATTAGATTTAGACTGAGCAGCAGAATTCACTAATGTTATCTGTAGTGAATCAAAAACTGACAAGCTGCATGTAAGCATAGCTGTGAAAACATAATTTTTGCATCTGGTGAAGTATTTTTGTTTTTGGTTCAAACAGGGATAATTCATAAAAAACATTTTACTAAATGAATCTTGGGTTCAGTGAAAACAGTCTCTCTGTGAAAATAAACAAAAAAATATAGCATTTTCACAATATGTTTAAATAAAAGACAAAGGTTCAAACAATGATAACAGGTTGAGAAATGTGTTTGTGACACTTACCTTTTGATGACAGTGAAAGGGGAAAAAAATAAGATTCACACACGATATCTTCAAGGTTTGACGTTTAAATCACTTTAGCCTCCAATCTCCACCTTTTCTTTCTTCCTGTTTAATCTATTCTTTCAGGCCTTGGTAAGCAGAAAGTAGAGCGTGAGTAGAGAGATGTCTGAGTGGGACGATTCCTCAAGCAGAGCAGAGTGTGGACCTCCTCCTCGTCTCTCTCTCTTGTCGTGCCCCCCTTTTCCCACTGAGGTAAAGTGCAGGTACACAAATTTAAATAAAGAGTCTGACCCTACTATTTTTTCTATCGGTAATCCTCCAGCGTTAATCAGAAGACTGCTGGTCGAAGAAAACATACGAGTTTGATCACAAAGTGTTACTTGTACACAAAGTGGATTTGCTTAATGCAAAATGGTTGTTGAGACAGGCAAAGGTTGGAAACAGGCAAGCAGTAAAAACATGAAACAAGGGATTTTGATTGAGGAAGACATGCAGAAAAACTGGGAAGACTGCTGTAAAGTTGGAAAGCTCATTATGGAGGATATACTGGATCTTCACCAAGGATGTTTCAATGATGGATTTGGAAAATAGAATCTGATACAAGTCGGCATAGAAGACTGAAAAAAGTGCATCACTGACGTCTTGACAAACAAACACTGTCTTTTATTTGTGAGACACAACGAAGAAGAGAACTGTTTTACATAAAGTTTATTTAAAGTTATCTCCAGGGTGGTCCGACATTGAAAGGGTTTGAAGACAGAACAAAAACCCTAACCCTTCCCCCCCGTCCTCTGTTTGTCTCTGTGTATATACCTGAGTCAATTAGAGAACCAGGGGCAGGAATAATAGAACACACAGACAGAGAAGTGTAAACTGTTTCTCTTGATGTTTTTACAAAGCTGACAGTGAACAAGTTTCACTCACACACACACACACACACACACACACACACACACACACACACACACACACACACACACACACACACACACACACACACACACACACACACACACACACACACACACACACACACACACACACACACACACACACACACACACACACACACGTATAGGTATTCTCATAAACTGGAGTCACTTAAACAACTAAAGTAAACTGGCTTTCATACTCGTGAATCAAATTGTTTTCTGTTCATGTGAAAGTGAAAGACGACTTTATGATTTATGTCGCATGCTGGTGATTTCAGTTTGTGACGTAGGCAAGTTGACAAGTTAATGTTTGGTTAAAAGCTTTTTTTGTTATGTTCGACCATAAAATAGAATAGATCTACCCTGGTCTGTCTTGTGTAGCGTGTTGGAGACAGAGAGGAAGGATGTCAAACTTTTAAAGACATTTAAGTGGGACAAAAGAAGTTCTGAAATGTAGTTGTTAATGTGAAGGATCTTTCTAGATACAGTTACTGGATTTAAGGTTGAAATTGCCTGCCCAACACTTTTTGTAAATCTTTTGTACATACTGAATTTACCGGGCAAGGCTGGGAGATCTGACAAATGTAATTAGTTTGTGAACTTATATTTGGTTTTTAACAGAAATCCTGCAGAGGTTGTATGACTGCATCTTTAAATCAGATTGATTTATATCCTTTAAAAAAAAAAAAAAAAAAAAAACTCTTAACAGTTTTCAGCATAGCAATAATTCCATGTCACTTTGATAAACAGTACAATAATGTTCTTAAAAATGAAAATCTATTTTAAATAAAAAAATCGTGAATCATTAATATATAGCTACTTGGTAATGTGAAGTTTTTTTTCATATTTTATCAAGAAAAACATAAAGTGGGGCATTTAATCTTTACAGTTGTATGAACCATAAAATTAAACTCATACAAGTAGCCTATTTGGTTAGATGGCCCATTATCAATAAGCACTAATAATAGGCCTATGTGGATTATGGCGTCCAAATAAAATAAATAATAAACAAACGAAAATCTATAAAATATGCTATGTCTCAAATGTACTAAAACATTTGCAGATCAAATGTGCGCAAAAAATTGAAAATTGTACATTGCGCTGGAAAAAACATGAGTCAGGGATACGTCAGCGTTTAGAAATCAACGTGAACAACGTCAAAGCAACACCTTAATAAAAAAGTAACAACTACTCTACTTACATTTTACAGATTAAATGAGAGATATCTGAATCAAACAAACACACGACAACGGTGTCAGTGGATTAAACACATGTGAAACACGACTGTGAACTAGCTACACTCAAGATGTTTAAAAACACATTGCAGAGCGGCTTCCTGTCTATTTTCTACAGCATCGGCAGTAAACCTCTTCAGATATGGGACAAAAAGGTAAGCAGCGATTTAGCGATTTAATCTTTTTAACTTCCTTAGCCTGTCATGCTAAAGCTAAGTCGCATAATATTTTTTTAATACTGTTTGATCATATGAAACCTATAATTTCTGCTGCATATTGGTTTGGAAGTAGTTTTAAAGCAGCTGAGAAAGCTTGTTGTAGCTCCATTTGAGGCTCATTACAACATTTTGCCTAAAAAAGGATAAACTGTTCCGAGCTAAGAACAAATTAAAGTTAAATCCCCTGATATATTTACTACGACATCATTCATTAGCGCTAACATGTTCTTTCTCTGTAGATATTTGGTGTTAGTTTGCCACGTTAAACTATATTTAAACTAAACACAGTCTTAATTAACGATCACAAGTACCAGTTTATCCGTCCACAGGTGTTACGGTTTAAAGAGTGACCGTGTTAACTGTTGACCTTCGGCCGGATACGTCTGTAATACCGGAAGAAGCTTTTGCTTAGCAACAGATACTGTGATGGCTTCAAACAAAATCAATTAGGTAAGCCGTTGCTGAGCGGCTATCAAATAAAAACAAAAGGCAGCCACGGATCCAAAGTCAACTTATAAACTACATTTATTAATAGAAAACTTTTCAGCAAAAATAAACTTCACAAAATAAAATAAACAAACAGATTGCTATATAATGTATATCCTAAGCGGCCCTTTGCGGTCAAAAAACTGTTCCGCTTCCCCACTCACACTCTCCCCCAGGTGTCCTTAATCAACTTAAATTATTAAACAATTAACAAAATGTAAAACCAAAATAAGTCAGAATAAACAATAATATAAACAAATAATTCTAAATTCATTAATGTTTGGCTCTTTTCAATTTTTTAACTGTAAATATTTCATATGGCCATTTGGCCACAACAGATACGAATAGCAACAACATAATTTGTATAAAACAGTTTGCCATTAACTTATTTGTTTCAATGGTTAGCAGATTTAAATGATCGAACTGACAGCTTTCTTGACATTTAAAAAAAATATATATTTTTTTTATTTTTCATTTTTTTTGTACATTGTTATTTTTTTATTTTATTTAAATTGTACTGTGTTCACTTTCTGTTTGCAATCTTTGCTCTTTGCTGCTGTAACACTGTAAATTTCCCCGTGGGATAAATAAAGGATTATCTTATCTTATCTTCTCCATTATCATCTTAATTTAAGACAGATTGTTTTTTAAAGTCACTACCAATTTTAATTCGCAAAGATGAAAAATATGAGCAGAGCACAACAATTTATCGTTGGAAATGATGATGAAAGTATCTCAGAACTAACTCTCCCATAGCATTTCTGTCGTGCAGTTTCTTGTTATTATTATGGCCAATTTATACATCAATGCATTTATATGGACTTGCATGCATATCAACTAATATCTGATAATGATGACAGCTGTCTTTGACCAGAAAGATCAAGCTTGTTTCCTGTGAATGAACCTTAATAAAAAAATGCATTTGTGTGTTCACAGGTGAGGAATGGCCACATCAAGAGAATCACAGACAATGACATCCACTCACTGGTGTTGGAGGTTGAGGGGGTAAATGTCAGGTAAGTGTGCCAATATAACTTCAGCTCACATCAACTCATTGAAGCACCGGTAACCTAACCAACCCATCTTCGTCTGTTTTTCATCCTTCTGTTTCCTGTAGTACTACATATATAACATGCCCTGCAGATCCAAAGAAGACATTGGGCATCAAGCTTCCTTTTCTCGTTATGATAGTAAAGAACCTCTTTGAAGTCCAGGTAGTCCCACTGAAACATCAAACTTCCAACAGTTCATGTTGTAATTATTCCTTCATGTGCAAAGATTTGAAGCCGTCCACACATTCTCCCCCCCTCTTTCAATTTGCAGGTGTTAGACGATAAAAATGTTCACTGGCGGTTTCGAGCGAGTAACTATCAAAGCATGACACGAGTGAAGCCGTTTCTCTGCACCATGAGGCTAGACGACGGCTGGAACCAGATCCAGTTCAATCTGTCTGACTTCACCAGGAGGGCCTATGGAACCAATTACATCGAGACGCTGCGTGTGCAGGTTAGTAGACGGGGACCAGCTGTCTAAGATATTCTTTTGTCACTTAAATGTCTGCATGATCTCTAAAGTAATGACTAAGTTTCTCTCTTTCCTCTCAGATCCACGCTAACTGTTGAATACGCAGAGTGTACTTCTCAGACAGACTGTACTCGGAGGATGAGCTCCCAGCAGAGTTTAAACTTTTCCTGCCTGTCCAGAACCAAAAAGCAAAGGTCAAACACAAACATTCAACCGCTCATTACCACAATCCATGCATATGAATTATATAAATTTCATAAAATACGAGAACCTTTCCTCTAAAACTCATTTGTGTTTGTTCTTGCAGCAATAGAGATTCTCAGCCTGCACTGTTCCCACGACCAGCTATGGAGTTTAGCGGTAAGGTTTTGTGTGTAGACGTATGATGAATTAAAACCTTTGATATTGTATTCTTTTGAAGTATAAGATTTGTGTTGCCTTGTGTTTCACTATGCACAATAACGTTTTTTATTGACTCATCTGTCCTCACAGTTCTCAATACAAACTGATGAATGTATCTGCATTGTAGTAACATTACATGCTTACAAAGGACACACTAGTTAGTGCTTAAAATAAAACGTTTTTTACAGAAACAAAGAGTCCATCCATCAAATATAAATAATCTTTATCAAACATCACAAATCATTTCAGGCAAAAGGCTTTGAAACTGGTTTGCCTTCCTCACTTTGGGCTCTGGTATACTACATGAAAAAGAATAGCAAATCATTTATTTCATTAAATATTGCATCACAGAAAAGTCCACAAACAGAATTAATGACAGTTCAACTTGAAGCTGCATTTTCAAATCATATCAGGAGCAGACTCAGTGGAAACACAAACTGATGAACATCAAGCTGAATGAATAAAAAACAAATATGTCACTAATGATACCAACGTGTTCTGACTGATTTGAGTGATGTTACTTTGAACTCGTCTGAGCATTTTAACGGCATTTTGTAACTTAGGAAAACGCTGCCCAGACAGCAGCTGTTAGCACTGCATTACACGAGTTGTCAATGTATTCTAGACAGATCGGCTACCTCAGAAAAAGTAGAAATTGTACAAATGTCACCGAGTCGTTTGAAAACATTCACACAGACTTCACACTGGGTCATAATGATCTATAACTCAGTCAGAGCAACAGCCTCTACATCAATTCGATGATCAGATACTGATGAAGAAGGCTCTCTTCACCTCTTCATGGTTATATTTGCTTTTACATAAATGGTAAAAATGTCAGCTTTTCAAAAGTGGGGTCATATTTCTAGTTTTTGTCATGATTTCATATTTTAAAAAGACTATTATAAGGACATTGAGAATCTTTTGGAAAATGTCAATACCAGTAATAACATTTCTGTATTCAAGTTATTGGCCCCGTTATTAAGTTATTCGTTTTTTGTAAACCTATTGGTGCATTTACACTTTTTTTTTTTTTTTAAACATTTTGGGTTTTAAAATATTTTTCCAGTAGGCACTTTAATATTTTAGAATCTTTGTGAAAACTGGAAGGCTTTGATTTAATATTAAGTCAACTTAATTGATGTTTATTTGTGTGTGTTTGTGCACACATCACACTTTTAGCCACCTGTGCACAAGTCTCTGCCGCAGAATGGCCACCCCTGTCAAACAGTCTGGACACGCCCCAGGCCATAAGTGAATTTGGATAAGATATTAAAACAAAAAGTAAAAAAAAAAAGAAAAGAAGCTGTGACATCATTGATAGTATCAGATCAGGTCAAATGAAGAAATAGACTCTTCAGGATTTTTACACAAATAATAAAATAAATCAAGCTTGAATGTTGTATTTTAACCACTGCAGGAGCTTTTACATTGAAACTAACTGAACAAACAACCTTTTCAGACAACAACATGTCAAGCAAATAACAAAAATAAATTCAAATTATTTCAACAAAACAATTTTCCCTCATGATTATTGAAACAGAAATACATTCATAGAAATCTATTGCATTAGACGACAGCATGCATCTCTTTAAAGTGCGGAAAACATTCATTGGTTAATATCAGTAAATCAACTACTGCATGAAAAATCACTGATTGAACAAAATATACAACAAAATAAGAGAAATTTGGCACAGCGCGACATTCAGTCCTTAACATACATAACGTATAAAATAAATCATGTGTTTAGTAAAATAAAACACACAGAGGACTATAAAGCCAAGGCTAACACATGGAGCATGAACCCCGTTTCTCCTCCGCTTTAAAGCTTCCTTCCTCCATATCTTTGTTTAGTGTCCTTTCTTTGACAGTTTTTGAGTTGCAGATCATTCGTTTATGCATTTCTTTAACATACATGATACATGAGATATTTACAATAAACATGTACCACAAACTGCTTTTACAGTCAATCCTACAATCATCCTACAAGCCTCACCATGTAGAAACAAACTCTTTGTTTGGCCTCTCATTTTCTTTTTTGCCTCTATTTACAAGTAAGAAAGTGACTTCTCCACCACTGATGTAGAGACAAAACCTTCTCATTGGTCCTTTTCTGGCTCGGCAGTGTTTCACGATAGTTGCTCAGGCAGGTTTGTGCATAACCCAAATAAGTTATATATAACCCAATAAGTGTTGGTTTTACAGCACTGTTTCCACTTTTTTAGTGTATTCAAGTGCTTCCAAAGTCATGTAGAAGAGTGAAGTCCACAACATTTTACCTTTCTGTGAGCTTATGAATTAACTACCACCGATATTGGCTGATCAGGGAAACCTTAGCACTGCATATTAACTTTTATTTTCAGCAAAATCTTAGTAAGATAAAATCCAACGGTGAGGGATCAATACCAATATTACCTTTGGACCGGGATCATTTGTTTAAAGTTCAAACCCTTAAAGATATCAAGAGCCTGTTGGAACTGTTGAGGCTGCCAACAAAGATGTACTTAAAAAAAAATCTCTTCTTACATTGTGAAAATAATTTGCTGGCAATACTGCTGTAATTCTCTCTAGTGCAAAATCAAGAAGTCAAAAACTCTTTCCCTGCCGTTTACAAACATGTACATATTAGCAGAACATTCTACTAAAATCACCTTAAAACTCTGCATTCTCTCATTGAGGCTTCCTGCAGGCTGGTGTGTGTGTGTATGTGTTTATGTGTGTGATTGTGGGAGCAGAGCGCGGCTGTGTTTGTCCGGTGTTATGTAGCTTCCCCGTAATGAATGACATAGTAGTCATGGACGTACATCAACACAGCAACAGGCTGGCCGATGATGAGTGATATCCACACTGCTGCGTTGCCATAGTTTCCATTCAGGAACCGACCCACAAACCAAGCCAGAGGAACCTTTAGAGAAGTCAAATTGTGTTTGTCCACGTGTTATTGGTAAATGACAACAGTAAAAAGAAACAGACAGTCCCCGATGTGTCTTACCTGAGCCATCATTCCCATAAAGGCCCACAGTCTGAACATCTTCAGAGGAACACTCACCAGGTACTGCCAAACAAACACAACACAATGTGTTAATGTAAGAAGTCAAAGCTGATCTTTGTATTTTTTAACTTCATTTATCCTTTAATTCTTTTTTTTAATATTTTCTGAATAAAGATATCAACTAATCAAACTTCAGGTATCATGGTTTGGGCATATTAAGCCTTCTAAAGATGTCTGCCTGAAGGTTAACACCTTACTAGTGAAGTTCCACTTCATGGTGTTTCAAACAACACAGGAGATTTTTTTTTTTTTTTTTTAAATACAGATGGTAGTGTGACTTCCTGTTATTTAAGCTTGAAATTGATTACACTGTATGTTGACTCCAGAAGTGCTAAGGGAAACTAAATTATGTTTGTTTGTTTTTTTTTACCTCGTGGAAGAATGCAGATACCAGGAAGACTGCGGTTTGAGCCAGAAATTTGTTGGTCCCTCTCTTCAACATTGGCTTATAGAAGTGTCTGTAGACACAGAGACATGTGATAAACAAATATCATACACACACGTGATACTGATCTGTAACTCTTAATTCTGTCAGAAAAGGCAGTCGGCACCTTGATTTCTTTATTTTGTACTCTGGATTTTATTTGACACAGATTACAATGGAAATGTTGAAACATAACATCACACTAAATCAAACACAGAAAGTACTCCTGATAGAGTCCTTTGTTGCTCACCTCAGGCACCACTTGTGAACTGGGATGTTCCAGTTGGCCCAGAAATATGTGACAGTCTCAGAGTTCCTGAAACATATGAGAGAAATGGCACAGTCACAGAGTATTTTGTTTCATTCCTTCAAATCACTTCTGGCTCTGAAGATAATCGGACATATCCAACATCCATGCCTATTTAACATGTGATAATTATTTTAACAAACAAAAGTTAACAGCAAAAATGATTGTGTCTGTTTGAATGCTCACCACCAGTCTCTGTAGAACTCCCTGTCTCCAAACTGAAGCAGCTCTGCCACAAAATTCATAGAAGAGTGGAAAAACCAATAGAAGAATATTAACCATATCAAATGGTTAGGAACCTAGGAGAGGAGAGGGGAGGAGAGGAGAGGAGGGGAGAAGAGGAGAGAGGAGAGGAGGGGAGAGGAGAGGAGAGGAGAGGAGAGGAGAGGAGAGGAGAGGAGAGGAGAGGAGAGGAAAACATTAGAGACTGTTTTCACAACTTGTGTAATGCGAGAGTAAGTGGATAAAGGGTTTTTCATTATGAGGTCATGGCAGCATACATTTGTGTTTCTAATGAATCTTCAGCACATCATGAAACTTACAGCCAGCTTTAGGAGGCGCTCCACCATCCGAGAAAAGTCCATTTCCTGTGAAAGATATAAAAACAGACTTTTTTTCACCACCATTCATCATGTTCATCTACAGAAACTAAATAAGACATTTTTGACTTGTTCAGACTATTATGCTCCCACTTTGTAATGGGCCTTTGTATATGTGTGAGCACTCACCTGAAATGGTTTCATTGAGTTTTGAATGGTTGGTACCATCCACTGGAAAACATGAATGAAAACATATATAATCTGCACTGTTTGATGAACATCTTTGTGTGCATAATGCAATCTCACTGCTTGTTCTGTTAATGTGAGACATACCTGTTGTATCAACCCCACCAACAGCTGCATGAAGAAAAGCTACAAGACAAAGAAGGTTGAAATGAAAAACAAAAAATAGTTTGTGGTTTTTTCCAGCATCTAAGTTTATACCATCAACATGTGTATGTATTTGTCCTCTCACCATTTCAAAAAGCCTTCGTATCAAAAACCTTTTACGTATTCGGGGTGACCGTGGGAAATTCAGCTGGTAGCAGAGAGTTGGGGCGAAGACAAAGTAGTACATGTCTGGAGACGAAGAAGAAAACAAATCATGAAGTTATCAACCGGTTAAAATGTCCACTTTTCATTCAAAGTTGCATTTAAAAACAGTGCTCTTTATCTCCATGCAGGGATCATACTGTAGGTACCTCTGTGTGTCAGGTTGCCGGGGTAGGAGACATGACAATGAACAGCTGATCCATTGGATTGGGGCACATTCGGACCTAAAAAAATAACCACAGAGTCACAATCAAAAATGAGGATGACAATAATCTTGTTATTTGCCTCTCATGTTAATTTTGTGTCAAACTAAAACTATCTTTTTCTACAACAGCTCACCAAATGTCTTTAACTGTACTTGTTGTATTTCAAAGATCTCTCTGTGTGCTGTCTGTTTTCTAAGCTCCTTCAGTGAGGATGTAAAGTCATCAAGTTGCATTAAGGATTAAAATTGCTTTGAAACACAGAGTGTAGAAACAGCTGTTCAAGACGCACATCTCTGATTTCTGACTGCGTCACAGTGTTTGTGTGCGTGTCAACCAAAAGCTTCTTGTCTCCAGTAGATGGCAGTAGAAGCACAGTGATACAGACAAAATAACCCTGATCTCCTTCAATTTGCACTTTGTGTTTGATCTACCACTGTGTAGTGTACACACACTGTAAACTAATGTGTGTGTGTCTACTCTAAATCTAAATAAGTGCTCCTTATCTTGGAGTGTGTGTACTTACACGAGTATGAGCGTGTTAGTCTCTTGGCTTTTGCGTGCCTGATTTCTCGACACCACCTGTTGGTGTCTTGGTAGGAGTACAGCTTCAGTAACAGCACCGTGTAGACTCCTAGGGAAAGCACACCACCCACTGAGACACACACACGCGCACGCGCACGCACGCACGCACGCACACACACACGCACACACACGCACACACGCACACAGGCTTGACTAAGATCATTTAATCATCTAAAGGAGCACTATGGGGTTGCATGTATAGCTGATTTTAAAGCTGTTAATATTATTGTTTTTTTAAATGTATAACTCCTTTTATGAATTGCATTATGAATGTTGTTTTTTTAACGCTTCAGTAAAAGTCTCAAAACTGTATCTTGTGAATATTTACCTGAAGTTATTGAATCCACAGTGAGTACACAAGCTGAAGGAAAGACTAACAGGGACGTCAGGGTAAACACGTGAAGAATCAGCCCTGTCGATTCAGAAATAGTGCCCTGGGAAGGAAGGGAAAAACAGAATGAGTGTTACTGTAAAATACTGAATCTATAAAAATGATTTCATTATTCATGCATTTGATCAAATAATATTTTTTTTAACTTTAACTTTGATGTGATGATTAGAAAATCTAATGTGTTTTTTATTTGTAGTGTGTTTAATAGATCTGTTGAGAAGAGTTGTTTGGTCTGTGTCTTATCAGAGTTCAGAGCAGATATAAAGGGGGGAGAAGCTCAGTGAATAAGCTACAGGATCAGTTTCATGTTAACATCCTTGAAGGAAAATCCTCATATGATAAATATTCAACAAGCACACAAAAACAAAGACAAAGTTTATTTTCTTTCAAATTAATCTGCAAGTTAACAAAGAACAAAAGCTCATTTAAAGAATCAGTTTATGTTTGTCCAGAACAGATTCAACTTGAATCCCAACATGTAAGAGAACCTTTGCTGCAGCTAAAAAAAGATATGCAAATCTTTGTAAGTACTCACCACAGCCAGGCGTCTCTCTGTGTACAAGGCTGCTAGGATGAACACGTTAGACACTGAAACACAGATAAGAGAAGATTCATCATGGACAATTAAACATGTGGTGTGAACCTGTTGGTCAGGTTGACTTTTAAACACTCAAGTGTTTTTATTACATGCAGGATTCTGATGGTTCAATATATTGTTTCAATATGAGCAGTTTGATTGTTCTGCATGTCAGAGCCCATCCTTACTGAGGACAACTATGTGTATTGATTAACTCCATTGATCAGGGAAGTTGTTGCCAGAAAAGAGAAAATGCCATGATGCATCAACCTTCTCTTGGTAAAGAGAGTAAATAATCAATAAAAGCTGTCATGTTCAAAACAGGAACAATTTTTGTGTGTACTATTCTTGAGCACCCTGCAGGTAAATTGTGCTTCATCAGATCCTCCATTAGTGTCATAGAGAGGCTGTAAACCACACGTTTTATTACAATCAGCGATAGCACCTTGTGTTACTATGATGGATTGATTTAAGAACAGGAAACACAGGTGTAACTCCTGTTTGCCAAGTTCAACTTGAATATCAATGGAGAGGTCACATGTGCTTACACAAAATGAAAGCATTGAAATCAAGGCATCATACCAATGATGATGCAAGCTGACGGCCAGCTATAGGGGTCCTTCAAGAAGAGAGACACCACTTGGATAGGATCCACCAAGATACCATACCTATACGAGAGTAGGGAGGACAATGATGGATTAAAACCAGACATTTTATAACAAAGGTTGTGCAGCTGAACAAAGTGAGACAATGTTAAGAATACGTTAAGTGCTGTCAAGTACATCATAACCTCCACTGCCCCCCCCCCCCCAACTTGAAACTTATTATCACCCTACATTTTTTTAAAACATATCCTGACGTTGATAGTGGTTCCGCTTGTAGATTTCCATTTCACAGACGACCTAATGATTGACCTCAGTGGTAGTCTGCACTCTCTTAGTGCCCTTTTAGTTTTATCATGAATATATTATTAAAGGGAAATATCAATCAAGCCCAACTTTTGTCTCAGTTCCAACAAAGGAAGACGCCCAAGTTCTCGTACTCCCACACTGAATTTTCATTGTAGTTGTTTTCTTGAAACAATAAACAACATATATTTCTGATTTAATCAAACACAGTGTTAGAGAAAATCAATGTTGTGTTCTAATTCATTGTCTAAGCTATGTATTAGTTCATGTGCGGCTCTGTTGGGCTCAGCAGACAACTCTCCCCCTCTGTGCTCCTTTATTTTCAAGGTCTCTTAGAAGACTCTCACAACATTTGTGTGTGTACACCCCTCCAGTATAAGAAGGTATGCCTACTGGAGAAAGGTGGGCTTTTTCTTTGAATACTTGTGAAGTATCAATATAAACTGCTCCATCTTGCAAGATTGAAGTTTTCGCTGTTTCAAAGTCTACTCTCTCCTGTGCTATTCATTTTCACAACACACAGCAACTCATCAAGTTAAAGTTATAAATGATGGTGAAGTGTAAGATGAAGGTTATCAGTCAGCTGCCCAACAGAATAATAGTGTGTTGTATCCACACCTGCTTGAGTGTATACATTCTGTCAGTAAAAAGTTTGTGTGTCGCTGCATACTCACTTTATTATGTTCTCCAGGAAGAGGCGTGCATTACTCAGCACCTGAAAGACAGCACAAAAAGCAAACAGAGGATTATGAGCACAAGCTGTCAACAACAGTCAGGTGTATTTGCAAATTCTATTTTTTTAATCAGTCAAACACATCTTAAGTCTTTTCCAATGAATCGGAATCATTATTTCTCTCTGCTTTTGATTTGGTTTACAGATCTGCAGAGTGTTTGAGTGTACTTGTTGAATGAGATAAAAATCAAAACAAGAACAGGAACAGTCAGAAGGCATGGATAAGATCAGGTTCATATCTGAATTTGGCAACCACATTCCTGATACCATCACACCTTGTTTCCTGTCACACCCAGCTCACTCTGTTAAAAAAAGTCAAGTAAATAGGTTTATTGTTATATTATGTATTCAAGTCCAAGGCCAGAGTCCATCTCGTTCTGAGCCATCAGTTATCTGAGCTTCTCTGAGATAAAACTAACAACTCACTAACACAGAGCAACAACAGCACATGTGTGAATACAGCATGTTTACCTGTTTCTGATCTGTTTTTTCTTTATGCCGTGTTTTGTTCATGATTTTCAGATCACTTAGGATAATTAGGACAGAGAGAGGATGACATATGATAAGGTTGTTGCTGCAGTGATTATGAGGCATGTCGCACCTCGGCCCACTGGCCTGCCAACACCGTGCAGCAATGTGGTTTTGATTCAACTATGTCTTTTGTCCGAAACCAGTAACCTTTGCCTCGGTAACCTTCAGCACGGACAGTAGATGACATGCAGCATAATGACAAAGACTGTGATCTGAATGAAGCACAGATAGAGCAATACGCTAAATTAAATATTGAGATGCCAAAATCAAGCTTTGCAGAATGAAGGGTCAGAGTCAGAGTTAGTTAAAGACAACAATCTTGGAGTTTGCATGATTTTTTTTTGGTCGAGCCCAAAGGAACTTCAATTGGGGGTTTATTTAAATAGCTCTGTTTGCCTGGTTTAAGAGCCACTGCCACCCAGCTGTAAATGTTTGATTGCAGTTTCCCTGCAGCCTTTAATCCGTCACACATAAACTCCTCCAAAAAAGTTTGGAAACATTATTTCGGTCACTTATTTCGCCCCTTTAATAATACTAATTGGTGTTGTATTTTATATTGTTGGAAATCTTGATTAGTCACCTTTACATTAAAGTATAACTTGTAAGGATGATCCTTACAAGTTATACTTTAATGTAAAGGTGACTAATCAGGCTTTCCAATACTTCAGTAATAAAACACCACTGTTAAGATGTTTTTATCTCCATTTTAAAGAACAAATAATAAAGGAGAACCCAGATAGGCCATGCCATTTTAGCATGTTCACTAACCTTGATTTATGCTATCAATTATTTGCTCATATTAAGGTTTTTTTTTGTGTGTGTAGAGGTTCAATTAAACTGTCAGCTGTTTGCTTTGCTCCGGATAGGAGAGACGTATCAGGTTTGGCGTATGATGAATTTAAAAATAGAAAGATGAACATGAGGAGGGTGACACACAAAGACGACCTGAGAGATCTAATGTCATCAAAGGCTGAATGATCAAACCTTTTGCTCTACCTCAAGTCAACGCTTACAGCTGATGACCAGCTGGATACTGACATACATATACAGTTTGTTTTACAGCGGCTGGCACTGTAAGGTTTCACTTTTTAAGCACTGTTCTTAAAGTCATCGGATCCTTTCACACAGTCTGTTCGGCTGCAAATCACAGGGAACAATGATATGAACCAGCTGAAGCATCAATTGTTTGCACCACATGCATGAATTTAGCTTTTCAAGTATAAACAACATTGCGCCAAATATCAAAATGTCTGCCAACATCTTTCTATCACCCAAGCCCACTGAACACGTTACAGCATCTTAAAACACTAATCTTTCTGTGGGCTCACAGATTAAGTAGCACCAATATAAATCTGCTTAACATACTGTGAGTGTTTCTGGTTATGGACAACTTTCCAGGTTTGTGCTTGTACACCATGGTAGACCTCAAACACAGTGTTTGTTAGGGTGCTGTAGTTGATGGATCTGTAGTGGCAGTGCTGTTCTCAGTGGAGTCATCATTGAATGATAATGCCTCATGTGACAGACATGAGGTTTTAAAAAGATCAGGTTAAAGGTGCTTTCATAAAACTGTTGCTTTAGGTCCAACTCTCCCTCTTCAGTTACCAGATGAAAACATCAGTGAAGCATGCAGCTCAAAAAACAAGAGGAAGTCTAGTTTAACAAGAACAGGTTAAAATCATTCAAAATCATTTTGAACTATAATAACACTTAAAAGACAATAAGAGAAACACATTTTTCTTTATAATTTGTTGAATTGTTTTGAAGACCACCTCTAGTTTAAAGTTAATAAGCATGATGTAGTTATGTTCCAACACTTCGCTTCAACATTCAGGTTGTAAACATGAACGTAAATTTAAAAAAAACAGCACGTTTAATCCCTCATTTCTAGAAAGTGTCATACTGCAGATGAAATTGTAGGAATTTAGCCGACGGTTCCGGGGTTATCGAGGACAAATTACACAACTAAGCCATCGAATATACACAAATACACACTCAACATCCTGTGGTTCCACTTCACAGTCTTACAGTCTAATCCTGAAGGCTTCCTAAAAAAACAGTCTGAAGCGAGCAGTGTCAGCTGTCCCTGCTGACCACAGAGTCAAAGACATGGTCGTCATGGAGATATAGACCTTCCAAAGATGGGGTTAATCCTGTTGCAGAACAGCAAAAATTAGGCTAGATGTGTGTTAAGTCCTGAAAAAGAGCCCACACAGGAAATGACACCAGCACAAAAGTTCAAATACATTTCACACCAATGCATGACAAATTATTATTATTTATTCGCGCCAGACCATGCATGTAAAAGGATATGCACATTCGCGAAGCATGCACATGTTTGCATATTGACACAAACATGCACAGCTCTGCTAGTCGTCTGCACATTTGAATTTCACCAAGATTAAAGCTAACTGGATATTAGAGCCCTCCACATCTATTAAAATACTAACAATACCCTGCAATGCCCCCACAACTGGCTGTCTGGAGGCATTGCAGGTTGCTTTAGGAGACACAAACTTGAACTCAGCTTTTGGACACAGTGGAAAGTTAATATGTCCTCAAGTGACCTCAGCCCAGAGGGACAGATTTAACTGTGACACATCTGTGAAATAGTGCCACAACTTCGACAGACACTGAGAGATTCGGAGAAATCAGCTTTTTCAAATATCCCAAATCGTATATATGCCCGTATTTGGCAAGAGATGGTATCGCCAACGTAATACTCTCTAAAATTAAGGCAACAGAACAAAACCTGCTCCACAAGGCAACCTCAGTGAATCTTTAAAACTGGCCTACTTTCCACTGCACCCTCGACACTGTGTAAAAACAGGAGATAACAGGAGAACCCTGCTTGTTTTGATTTCTCTCGTATGTTTCTGGAAGCAGATGTGACACAGCTTTGAAGTGATCCTTCTTAGATCACACCAGCAAGCTTAAGATTTGTGAGGACAAACTGTCATGCATACGCAGGATTTTGCAGGATTATAAAGTTAATGTTCCTGTTAGAAGATTAATCTTTCAGTCATGTTTGTTTCTGAATGTTAAAGGAAGGGCTATCTCTCTAAAACATGCTGACTCAGCTTTCAGAGAAAGATACTGTCAGGAAACATCCATCAGGCATTGAAGTCAAATTTGAATTTAATTAAACTAGTGATTTAAAATAAACAAATATAAAAGTGAATGACATGGGTCAGACACTTTGTTTGCTTTGTACCCCTAAATCCCACATCATTATCTCTCTCCTGTGACAAAAGGGATGATGGAACATTTCTCCATTATTTTCATATTCATCTTGTTGCTTGGTGTCACTTTAGTATTCACTGTCAGCTTACTAGAACAGCCTGTGAACTGTCACATCTAATAAACATGCTTTAATCGAGGTTGTGGTGGAGAAAGGTTAAGAAAACCATGAAGGAGTAACTGTGTGTGCATACATGTAGTGAATGGCTTGTGTGAAGAGATAACAAAAGAAACTTATCAGACTTCTCACAGGCAACTTTGATGTGTCACAAGATGTCACTGTAACAGGTCAGACTTAAATCCCAAGAGGATGTGGACTGTGTCGAAGCAACTGTTACTCCTACAACAGTTTCAGCGCGTTACACTAAGTGACAGCATTATTTAGTGTACATTTTGGTTTGTGTGATTGACCGTGAGAGACGGAGAAACAGAAGTGACAACTGGTTAACGGTAAGAATTAAAAGCTTTGCAAGCATTTACCACCACAGATGTGCCGACGTACAAGAAGGTCACAAACTGTCATTTTCCCCCAAGTTAAGAGTGAAATAGAATTTGTAAAGTGCTTAAGTGTAAATGTATCAATATCTGTCTTCTTTTTTCTTGTGTCCGATCTTATTTCAGTTTCTCAGAAAGAAAGAAAGAAATGACATCAAATATTTTTGTTTTTAAAAAGTGTCACTTGTATTAATACGGTGTAATGTTGGGATTTCAAATGAGGTTGTCATGATTTTAATTCAGTAAATGTGAGCCTTTTTGTTCTGACCCTCAAACATTTGAATACCTAAAAAGGTCATATTTAGATGTTTCTTAGTCTAGATGTCGCAAAGTATACAACAGAGACACTCAACTTGAACAGACAGGGGCCACTTTTGCAAAATGACTTGAGACAAGGGGCGTTTAAAAATGTATATATAATAAAACAATCAATCCTTTAACTCATAATTCTTTAAAATTCTCTGTTCTCTGACATCATATCTTTACGTATTAACTCAATTAATGTGTTACATTGTTTTACACCATGGCAGGCATACATGACTGATTTTTCAGATATTTTTGAATTTTGTAGCTGAAACTGCATTAGCTTTACATTGTAAAGAGTTAACACTAAACATTTAGCATCAGGAACCTCATATGTTTGAAGGCATATCATGAACACAATCTTGTTATGTAAGTTGAAACGAGGCCTCTTGGAAAATGGGTAGATTGTTTCTTAGTAATCCTGACTTATTTTTCCTTGCAGAGAGAGCAACATGGCTAAAAGAGGCTTAGCTCACATCTTCTGCACTGATCACAGGGGCAATACTGAACATTCACACATTGCAATAAACAAAACAACATTTTCACTCAATCCCCCCCATGCATCAGTAAGCTGATAATCACTGATTCTGTTTTGGGAGTCATTGTTTACTTTATCTTCAGTACTTGATGGACATGCAGTTTAACTCACCAGCATGACAACACACCAGTTGAGGATTCCTCTGTAGTTGCTGTAGCCGCTGGCTGAGCTCAGGAGAGACTCTTGGAGGACATGGCAGCTGGAGGGAAACACAGAGTCAACAGTTTTATTGATCATAAAGCTCTTTAAATTCCATCCTGCCCATGTAGCTCTATAAGCTCAGGGATGAATCCACTGGGTACATCCATCTGGTCACTGTCGTATCTCTTATAAGGAAATATTTTGAATGCGTTTGCTTTTGGAAGCGGTTTAATGATGCCAAGAGAACAGAAGGGTTGATTAAGCATTTTGGTGAGTGTACAATGTTTGTATTTGATTTGAAGGAGCCAACACGATTCAAACTAACAAGTCACATGAGTCATGGTTTGACCAGTAATGGTTTAGAACAGGATGCACTCAATCACATTAGTGAAATATTTTTATTTTTTTAAAACAATATCACATGATGCTCATTTTACTAATTTGACAAGACAAGGTTGATCAGAACTTTTTTTTTTAAACATCTGAACATTTCCATTTATAAACAGAAGGTGTTTTATGTTCAGTTTCTGTCTGATTCATTTCTATTTATAGACCTTCCTAGCTGTAAAGCATATTGTAACTTAATAGCACTTCCAAAACCAAGAAGGCATTTTGTGCTATGGTACAATATTTTCCTTTTTTCAACATTTAAACACAGCGTATTGGGATATTGATTGTTTTCTAAACCTTTTTGCTTTTAAATACACATACAGTATCTCTAAATAATAAGTCTAGTGTTTGATCCTTTCCGACTGCACCGGGCAATGAGAGTTGTGAAAATGTAGGTTAGAAGTTATTGACCTCACTGTCCACACACAGAGCATTGTGAAGGCTATTTATCAAGCAATCATTTTTACACAACCATTCATGACAGAGACAACTCTGCCAAGATAATAGAGATAGCAAAAGAGAGCAAGGGTAAGATCATTCATTAAGAGGGAAGGAGAAGAAGTAGAAGTTAAAAGAGAAACAGGGTAAGAAAGCAAGATAGTGTTAATGCAGTGTTAAAGTGAGAAAATGGAGAGGGAGGTTGTGTAAAGAAAGGAAGGGAAACTATATTGAAAAAGAGAGGGAAAACCACAAGGATTTCTCAATGAGTGCCATGACACACACATGGCAGAACGTGCAGACAGAAAGGTAGTCAGAAAGCACAGAATTTGCAAGAGCAGATGTTGGCATTGCTTCCTTGTTGTTGAAATACAGGAAAGTGACAACGCTCCCCATCTAGATGAAATGAAGATTAGATCTGTATAAAAACCCAGCCGGACTCTTGGCACATGACAACAATGTATAGAAACAGACTCACACAATAGAAATGCACATTTTAAAATATAAACCTAAGGTTCACAGCATGTTGCTTTATCTCAGACTTATTCTCTTATGTCCTGGCAACAAAGTAAACGCTTCATACAAAGACAAGCTGTTTTTAAGCTCCACTTCAAGGCAATGCCACCAGTTTTGTTGAGTGCTTGTCCCAGATTAATAGCCTACCCTTTATAACATGTCACAAACTTATTGCTATGAAGAAGTTTATATAGCCTATCTAAAGGAAGGTGAATGATAGGTGTCCATGTCACCTTCAGTAGCCTTAAGGGAAAGTTACATTTTTAACCTCATAGGAATAGCCTAGTTTTATTTAAGTGCGTATAAAGGCTACAAAAACAGACAAGCAGTTTATTTTTTCTTTTACACGTAGAGGTCTAATTAAGAGGTCACACCGGTATGTTAGCTTTTGGCCCAGTTTTATCTTCACCCAGGTGAAAAACACTGGGATGTGAAGAATTTTTATTTTTCTATTTTACGTTAATTTGTGATTCTTTGTGGGTAACGTCAAGACTTAAAATCTTTCTATAAATGATGCTTACCTGAGTCTCTGGTTGATATCTTCCACCACACTCTTCTGTTTCCTCGGGCTGTCAGTGAGCTGCCCCTTCTCTTTGCCCACCTTCCCGTTATTACTTGCACGACTTGACACCTCTTGTGTTTTAGCTTTAGCGGGATACGGTGGGGGTTTCTCACCGGCATCTTCTCGCTTACTCCCGTTTGCTTGTTTCACGCCGACAGCTCCCCCGCCGCCTCCGGAGATGGTCGTCCTCCTCCGGCGGGTTACAGGCCCTCTTATCTCGGTCTTGTCGCTCATAACAGCGTGTATATAAAAGCAGTTTTTACCTGCTTGACATTTCTGGTCAAACTGCAGCCACTCGTTTCCATTCGTAGTTTCACATCAAGACCTTAAACTGACAGTGAGCCAGCTGCCCACGTCTCCAGTCGTGTCAGTGTTGGTTATGATAAGGAAGCGTGCATCACTACTACAGCTCAAGGTGCAATAGTCACAAGGTTGCCAGGTTGGTGTTTTAACCGAAATCCCCCCATCTCAATCAATCTCGACAGAAAGGGGTGGGGTGTCCTTTCATAGTAACATATATATGATGCCGGTGGATATTACCTTATGCAAGGTCCGAAACCCAATCTGAGTTATATATATATATATATTTTTTTTAGTAGTAGATATTTTTTTGGTCCATGACCACAAAGCATAGAACATACACGAACAGTAATAAAAAAAAAAAAACAGTGGCCGAAAAGGTGTAGGATGAAGTCGAGGCTTATATGCCTCCCCTTTGACATTTCATTTATATAGTACATCAAAACAAGAATAGCTGCAAAAAAACAAACAAAGTAACCTGATTTCACAAAACAGAAAACTGTTGTCAGTTAACCAAATCAAAACAATAAAATAAAATTTAAAAAAAAAAATAATAATAAATATATATATATATAATATATATAATAATAAAAAAATAAAATAAAAAATATATATATATATTAAAGAATAATTGGCCAAATAATTTAGCGAAATATGATTTTTTTAATTATTATTTATTAAAAATATTATTTTCTCAATAAACAGAGGTCACTGTGGGTTTTAAAGTGGATTTTGTTGAATGTTAACTTGGGTAGCAACATTTGAATGTGGTTCGGGGGAATAAAACACACTTTCCCTCCCACATGTAAAGCCCGAAAACCCAAAAACTACAGTCAAGTTAGTTTGTAGTGCAAATCTTTTAGCAGCCAATAGGGTTTGTGCACGTTGTCACGTGTCATTTCTGGCCAATTGTAGCCTAGCGACGCCATGTAGTTAGGTTGACTGTGTCTGGGACAGCTGTTGAGAGAAGCGCCCACATTTAGCCAAATGTTACCTATGATTTTACATATATAGAGACATATTTTTTATCTTACTGCTTATTTATGACACCAGACAAAGTTTGTGATTCGGTTGTCGGTTTGTAAGAGGAATGAAAAGGCTCAAGGGGAAGAAACAAAAAGCAGGAGTTGCGTTGAATGGGAATGGATCTGTCTCAAGAGGTAAGTCAGATACTGTCAGTCCAGGTAGAAACAAACACTAAAAATAAATGTGGACAAGCCAAAGCTAAAGCTTATCATTACTGTAAATCCAGTTTGAATTATTCCGTATGTAGTTTTTGTACATTTTTAATAACATGCAGACACTTATTCTTAGTGAATGTGTTGAAATACCATTGAACTTAATACTATTAGCCTGCTGCAGCCAGCTGACACAAACTTAAGCAGAAAACACGAATCACGAGTATAGTCCACAGTGTTTCTAACCCATTTTTAACCCTCAGCTGTCTTTTTGTTGACCCTGCTTTTCAAAGTAAACTGTAACTACTTATCTGATAGAGTTGCTTGCGTGGCAGCCTGTCAGCCAACCTGGACAGTTTGGAAAGTTTCAGCTGGTGTGGCAGACACACAGAGAGAGCTGTGGGTTAATTCAATACAACAATGACAACACAAACAAGAAGAACGACTTTTAATTATGTCATCACTTAACAACACTTGTCTGTGTGGCTTAACCCTTTAAGCCACTCAAGCAGTTAAGACTTTATTTTAAAGCTTGATCCAATCCCAGCATTGCACTATTTTACATTAGGTGACATGCCAGAGACTCATTATGGTTAGACACCGTTGTAAAGGGATTGTTTGCAAGAATGACACTTAATTGAGGCCAACTTAGAAACACCTCAAATCTTTTCCGTCCAAGAAAATCAAGTTAAAATATTTGATTAAACGGGGAAACTTGTCATGTGATAATACAAAAAAAGTCCTAATTTAATTGTGTGTTAATTATTATTCCCAAATCCAAGAAACTATTGGAAGTGTTTTTTCTGCATTTGAATCAACTCGACTATTTTTAACCTCAACTCGATATCTCCTCTCTCCTCCCATGCCTCATTCATCTCTCTCACTCTCTCACATCTCTATCTGTCCCCAACCATTCTCCCCTCTCTTTATTTTCTGTTTTCCGCATTACTTTTTTTAATGCTCACTTTCTTTAATTCCTAAAATATGTATTTTTCCCTCTTTCACACTCTGTATTTCGTTTCTCTCTTCCTCCTCCCCTGTCCTTCTTTCTTTATTTCTTTTACAGAAGCAGATTGTGGAAGGAAAACGAAGTTGGCTGAGATCCATCAGGCTTTGATCAGGTGAGGCAGTGACTATTAATAACAAGCAGGCATGTGTCTGTGTGCTTATAAGGGTTCTTTCTCTGTGATCAAGAAGGACATATTCATTTTTATTGTATAGTTAGATTTGCTTCCTGGAGGTTTTTTCACTTTTTTAAAAAATTTTTGTTGAGGAATGGCTGAGCAACACAGGTTCTACTATATGAAATGTATCTATTGATATTTAGTGAGACCTTACAACAAAACATTCTTATCTGTCAAAATCTAAATTTAGCCTAAAAGAGTATTTATTTAAAGAAATCTAAAAAGCCTAAATTAGTGCTGAAGCAGGATGATTTTTTTTTACCCTAAGTGGTTATGCCCTTCTCTCTGAGGATCCCTGTCCCACAATTAGATGGTATGCATTTAACCTGAGACAGTGACCTTCGTCATTTTTCTGCTAAGCTAATTTCACACATTAAGATTACTCACATGTGCCCAGAAGAATAGCGTTTCGAGGATCATGCAGACTTCAGTAACAGGGGGGCACGTGGGACTTGGATGAAATGGCACTGGGAAGCTCATGCTGAATTTAGCAGGCAGATTTAGTAAATTAAGGATTTAAATGCACAAGAGCAAAGCAACAGTCCTCTTCATGCATTCAATTTAAACATGTGGACACACCACATGGTGCCACAGTGTGGGACGGATGTGGATTGAATAAAACATTGACAAATCAAAGGGTGTCTGGAGGGAAAGATTGTTCATAAATAAATCCATCCAAACTAAGTCTTAAGAGTCATTTGCATGCAGACATAAATTCAAAGAAGGACTTAGATCCATTTTTCATTTTACTTGATGTGTTGCTTGTTATGTTAAAATACACAGATGTGATAGCATTATGATCACTAACAAATAAAGTGAAACAAATTGATTATTTCGTTGCTATGGCACCTCTCGGTGGGATATGTCAGACACCAAGGGAACATTTTGTCCTCTCAGTTGAGGTGTTTGAAGCAGTCAAAAGGGGGCAGGGGGTAAAGATGTGATTCAGGGTTCACTGATGCTCATTGGAAGCAAAGCCTGGCCTGTTTGGTTCAATCCAACAGAAGAGCTTCTGGAGCTCAGAGAACATGGTGCTGGTGCTGATGGGAACGGGTCAGAACACACAGTAACTCGATGGGTCAGGAAAAGGGGGGCATACTAAATATTGGATAAATGGTCATAATGTTAGAGCTGAGCCTTGTAAAATACTGCACACAAATACAGAAAACAACACTTAATCACTGAGATACATTGGTTTGTAAATCACATAGATTATTTTATCCAAAGCCTTTTTAATTTGTTATAAGAAAAGACTGGTTTATACAGATTTTTTTAACATACTTTGACCAAATTTTATAGAAGTGCATTACACTAAACAATGCCCAATTCTGCCTCTTGAACGCACAGTGATCCAGTGGACATTGAGACCCTGAGGAGAGCAGCAGCCAGTAAAGGCGGTCTCCTCACTGATGAACTGAGGAGGAAAGTCTGGCCCAAGCTGCTGAATATCAACGTGTACGATCTACCACATAAACCTGGTGAGTGGTTGACTGATAATGCTATTTACTTGATTGATGTAGTCAACATAACACTATAACTAACAACAACAACAACAACAACAACAACAACAACAACAACAACCTTTATAGCTAAAAAGTAAATATGCTCTTCTTTTATAGGTCGAGATGTGAGGGAACACCACAAGGACTACAACCAAGTAGTCCTGGATGTGAGGCGGTCCATGAAGCGGTTTCCTAAAGGTGTGTGAGTTATCTTTGAAGATAGCAGCATAGTTCACACTGCCTTTTTATCAAACTACAGCAACATGCAGATATGTGGCTGGGTTTAATATTTAATTCAATACGTTAAAGCAGCACCGGTGTTGTGAGCCAAAATCACAATGTTTGTTGATAGTGCAATTATAGACGTATAAAGGGACAATACATGTTTCTGTTGAAAGTTGTTTTAATAATAGGGTCTATTTTATTTTTTTGCCAGTTTGTAATTTTTGGGAGCTAAACTTTGTTTGATTTGTCAGTTTCATACAAAACTCTTATAATTAGAAGTCAGTCAGGATTCACATGTCCAATGTTGACCTAGTTTCTAGAATAATCATCCCAGAATTTTCCAAGGTTTTTTTGGTAAGTTTTTTTACTTACATGTAAACAAGATTAAGTTTCCAAAACAAGAGATTAAACAGACACCATAATGTAGCGATGGAGCCTGAATGAGATTATAGTGTGGTTAAAAGTTCTTGACCATGTCCCAGTGTCCAGTAAGACTTTTATCAAAGTTTGAGAGAAGCAACAATCCTGTTGTATGAATGTGCTGATTCTTAACTCTCCCTCAGGTATGCCAGCCACAGAGAGAGCCGTGCTTCAGGAGCAGCTCATCGACACCATACTGGAGGTTTTGAAAGGAAACCCTCAGCTGCATTACTACCAGGGCTACCACGACGTGGCCGTCTCTCTGCTGCTGGTAGTCGGAGAGCGGATGGCCATCGCTCTGCTGGAAACACTGTCCAACTTCCATCTCAGGTTTTTACATTTCCCTATTTAATTTTAATCAGTGTAAACTCCTCACTTTTAAGGTATTAATAGATCAGATTAACCAAGTATTTTTCCAAATCATTAAGCACTAATCTTTCCTGTCTTGTCTTCTCTGTCTGACTTTAGGGATTTCATGGATCCAACAATGGACAGAACGAAGCACATTTTAAACTACCTGATGCCTATTCTGGAGCAGGTTGATAAAGAACTACACGACTTCATGATTAGGTACATTGACTTACACTTACTTATTTATCACCCCTTAAGACAAAAAACATCACTGAGCACTCGTAGTGTTGATCTGAACACACTAGAACTGTCTGTTGGAGAAATGCACTCCAAATTTGGTTGACACTTTGCCCCTTTTCTTTATACATTTTTAATGTTGAGTAACTTTGGACAAAATGTGATGTGTGTAACAACCACTAGAGGGCATCAAAGTGTTGATCTTCACCTGTGTGAATCAGACAGAAGTGCTTTGGTTGTGTGTTGAAGCTCAGTTAAAAAAGCATCAAGAGGTTTTCGAGTATCAGATGGTCCAGCAGCTGTTTCTGTCCCACCAGGGAATGCAAAACATTTACCTTTATTTATGAAGTATAATTAGCTAGAACATGGCTTATGATCTTTTTGCAGTTTATTTAAACAGCAACCAAAAGAAGCAGACACTGCAAGTTTAATTTACATGTGTGGCCAAAACTTGGGTTTTAAATGTTTGCAGGCCGTTACCTGGAGTTCGATTGACTTTTTTCCCACCTGTTCATGTTTAATTTTGTTCTGGAAACCTCCATATCTGTAAATGACTGGTCGATACAGAAAAAACAACAACAGAACAGAAGAATCCAGACCTTGTACTCACAGAAAAACATCAGGATAAACAACGCCCCACTTCCCAGTCCGGAGGGGTCTTTCTTTTTATGAGCTCTTCAGCTTCCTCTTATCTTCCTTCATGTCTTTGCCTCTTTTCTTTTACCTTTTTCCCCCTCCTGCTCCCACATTTTCTTCTCTATCTGTATCATCTCTCCCTCTTCATTTGATCTCTTTTATGTCCCTGTCATCATACATGTTCCCTGCCCTTTGCTCCCTGTCTTTACCCCTCCCCCCGTCCATCACTCCCACCGGCTTTTCACGTCTCTCTCTCTTACTCTTGTACTTATCCTTCTTCCTCCCTGAATGTTCCTATCCAATATTTATCAGCAAACTCTTAAGAGTATCCAATTTACTGGAGACACTGTCAAAAATAACCGCCTATCTTTGTCAGCACACATCAAAGACAGACATGGAAGAGAAGAGTAGACTTTTGAGTAGCTAAGGTAACTAAACATGTTTCTCTGAAATCAATCAGGCTAAATCTCTAAGAATTGATAGTGTTATGAGAAAACCAGCAGTCCTCGTATTTCCAGGCCGTTAGATGAAGCCAAACAATTTAAAAGTGTTCTACAAATGAAGGAAAAATACCACCCAGCTTGGTCAAATCGATGCATGATGTCATCTGAGGCTGGAGAGTAGCTTTTGAGAAAATCTGATTTCATCCAGTCATTATTTTACATATTGCTCCTTTAAAGAAAGTAATTGTTTATCTCAGTTTGTCCTTGATTATTAAACCTCCTTAGAGCAACATTCAATTTGTCGTTTTTAGTGACCCCTGTAGTCAAAAAAAAAAATGTCTCGATCTTGTCTTGTACATGTGTACGACGGAGGATTAGGCCATGTTAAATTTTGAGATTAAACTCGTAAATTAACGAGAATAGAGTTGTAAATTAACGAGAATAAAGTCGTAAATTTACGACTTTAATCTTGTAAATTTATGAGTTTAATCTCGTAAATTAACAAATTCAAGACCAGCCTGTGCGAAAATGATGAAAGTAGAACTCTTAAATTCTTTAAATAATAAAAGAATAAAGTGGTTATTTTAGTCTATATCAGAAGAGCAGCAGCATCCTGTTCTCAAATGACAAACATGGAGCATCTTGTCCTACAGGTTTCACTAATAAGGAAATAGGATACTTCCTTGTGTAGTCGGTAAAAACAGTTCAAGAGAAGTTTTCACTACAACTTGAAAGACCTTGTTTATCTGTAAAATGATGAACAGGACACAAACTGTCTCTGCACATGAGACACTTTAACAAGGCAGACCGATAACAGACACAAATAGCTGTGTTGGGGCTTTACTTATGCAGATATGAAACTACACATGCTTTTGACACATCATCATCTTCACATCTTTAAAATATCAGCACCCTGAAAAGATACTGCAAGAAACTGAAGAAAGAAGCACACTGATTTGGAGGAAGCTGTCTGCAGAGGAAAATACTTAGAGTTCTACTTTCATCATTTTGCGCAGGCTGGTCTCGAACTCGTTAATTTACGACTTTAATCTCGTAAATCTACGAGAATAAAGTCGTAAATTTACGAGATTATTAACGGTCAAATGAATCATTAATGGAGAATCTTTGTTAAAAAAATCTATTCGGTTTCACCATCAGTTAATCGCCAAACCTGACACTTTCCCAGCTGCTGCACTTTCAGGCCTTAAAAATAACAACATAGAAGTAGTTATGTTTTTTGCTGATGTACTTGTTTGCTTTTGTAGGTCATCAATATTAATTTAAGTGTGTTTCAAAACCATCTTAAAACTACTCACAGGAGCTTTAAATAAAATGTGTGATCTTCTAGTTTTTTATGTTTCATGTCTTTACACGTTCTCACACATCTCTTCTCTTTTTAGAGCCGAGGTGGGAACCATCTTTGCGCTGTCCTGGCTCATCACTTGGTACGGCCACGTGCTGTCAGAGTTCAAACACACCCTGAGACTGTACGACTTCTTCCTGGCCTCACACCCGCTGATGCCCATCTACCTCGCTGCTACGGTAAGAACGCGGCAAAGAAGCAAAAAAACAGGAAATGAACAAGAGGAGGTGCCATTGTTTGGAAATCCTGCTGCTCATAGATACACACTGCCGCAGACTCATATACTCACACACACAATGAAGCAAAGTAGTGTGAGGTGGCTCGACTAGTTAATTAGATACCTTCTTATGAACAGATGAGAGAAAGAGAGGTATAAAGAAACAGACAGAGGGGGAGATAAAAGAGAGGCAGGAGGAGGAGGAACGCATTAAGAAACCAAACAAGGAGCTGACTGATGTTTGTAATCTGTCCTTTTGTCCATCTAAATAAGAGGATAAGCAGGTTGGATCCCCCCTCCCCTTCATTCCTCTCTTAAATGTGTTCCTTTAGGTGCTCTCATAGACAGAAATAAACGCTGATGGAACATGTGTCTGTAGAAATCATTTATTTTGTGTTTACATGTATCATCTTGAAGGTGTTTGAGTGTTAAGAGGCCTTTAAAACGATGGGTTTTATGCACGTTGATTAGTGTGTACATGTTGCCTGTTTGTATTTGAAGATCTGTGTGTTTGTGTGTGTGTGTGTGTGTGTGTGTGTGTGTGTGTGTGTGTGTGTGTGTGTGTGTGTGTGTGTGTGTGTGTGTGTGTGTGTGTGTGTGTGTGTGTGTGTGTGTGTGTGTGTGTGTGTGTGTGTGTGTGTGTGTGTGTGTGTGTGTGTGTGTGTGTGTGTGTGTGTGTGTGTGTGTGTGTGTGTGTGTGTGTGTGTGTGTGTGTGTGTGTGTGTGTGTGTGTGTGTGTGTGTGTGTGTGTGTGTGTGTGTGTGTGTGTGTGTGTGTGTGTGTGTGTTAGGGAAGGGGCCGGGCAGAGGGAGAGTTCTGTTTGAAGTGTGTGAAACAACAAAGCAGAATGTAGTTCATGTTTCCTCCAAGGCTGAGTGCAGCGCACAGCAGGGGGGGTTTAACTCTTCGTCAGCCTGCTGAGCGCTCACTCTCTGCCTCGGCAACATCCACCGAAGCTGCTCACTGTTCACTTTGTGGAGTCTAACTCGTGTTTATGCAGCTTCGGGGGTTAACACTCTCTTCTTCTCCTCCTGCTCCTCAGATTGTGTTGCACAGAGAGAAGGAGGTGAAGCAGACAGAGTGTGACATGGCCATGGTCCACCACCTCCTCTCCCGCATCCCTCAGGATCTCCCATATGAACTTCTGATTGGCCAGGCCCAGGATCTGTTCGACCAGTACCCTCCATCCCTGCTGGCCAAGAGGGCAGCCCTGCAGTCTCGCAAGAGGTGAAGGAGCATCAGTTGAAACCATAAATTTAAGATCGTTTTGTGATAACTTGATCAATATACAAAAATTAGGCGTCAAACCAGTATATATAAGGTTGAGGCCAAGAATGACATTAAAATACCTCCACATGAACTGAATGTGATTTTATGACCTCAGTCATGTGCATAATTACGGACACTTCAATCTGGTGAAGTCTTCTCGTTTTGGATGAATGGTCTAACTGTTAAAAACTGTTAAACTTACTATATCTTATAAATAAAATGTACGTTGTTGCCTTCCCTAGCAAGTTGGCAGGACAAATGCACACTGTCAGTGACTTTGGACATCTTCAAGTTGTTGTGAATTTAGGTCTGCAAAAGATTATTTTCATCCTAAATGAATACATTACTTAGTTTTAAATCAGTCTGTTTGTCCACAAAATGACTTCTAAGATACTTTATTATTGAATTTCATGATGAGGTAGAACAACAAGCTTTTTTGCCTAGACATAACTAAAATGATTTATCACATTTGGATTTTGGTTTGTTGGAGTTCTCCTAGGTTAACCCCTCAATAACATCATAGTTACAAATGTTCTCTTTATTATTCTATTTTACGCTTCTTGTGCAGTGTTGAGGGAGCATGCAGAGACACTATGATTCTACTGTTTTTATACATACTGTATGACAAGAGACTGGAGCTTGAATGACTTGACCTGTTGCCCCTGCACATCTCTGTTTTCGGCGTTTTGTTTTTATCACAACACATGACTCAAATACAAAAGTGCAACATGTGGAAAAAAAAACGTTTTAAATGCTGTACTGAGTACTTTTGTAATTCCATCAGTAACCAGCAGGGTGTACACTTCCAGACTTTGAAGTGCTACATACTTACCCATGGGACATTTGGCATGTGTGTAACCATGCATGAGACACATTTTCAATATCATTTTTTATTATTGAGCAGGAAACATAAGACACATAACTGCATCTTCTGTCTCTGTAGCTGAAGTCTGCCCATCAGTCGTCCTCTTCTTACAGTGTCCTTCAGTGTTACTTACAGTCATTGTTCAGGAGAGGAAGTGACATCACTGACATCAGGCCTTGACTGAGTGATCCTGAAAGTACCCTCTGTCCCATAATGCTTTAAATTACTCCTATAGCTTCTTACTATATACTAGAGATGTTGAGTTATCAGATCTCTCATATTGTCTTACTTTCCCCCTCGCTGTCTTTATCCATCAGAGCGCTGTGCACTCAAAGGCATGATGATAGTCCATCACTGTTTTTTGCTTCCCCTTTGACTTGACTCTCTCATCCATCCTCCTCTAACCGTCCCTCTCTGCTTCTCTTCCTCCAGTCTGTCCATCAGCACCTTCCAGGCGTTTCAGCGCTCGACCCTCCACCAGAGGCCCGACTCTGTTCTCCAACGTCTAACCAAAGCCCAGGGTGCCGCCGCCGCCTCCAGACACGGTAAAAATAGTTACTATAATTGTATTAGAGACCCCGAGGAAGGCCTCTGCACGTACAAGGCCATACAGACACACGTGCAGGGAGTGAAGTGAAACTGAATTCTTAACTGGTTCTCTTTCAAGTTGCATTACATTTAAAAGCATCTGTTAGAATGTTTAAAGCAAACGTTTCAATCTACCCATCAAATTAATTTGATGGATCCTCATCTCTTAAAATGGTTCAGAACAAGGCAGTAGTAAGTCTGCCATCCCCTGCAGAAAGCTACACACCCCTGGGCCAATCATTAACAAGTAAACAAATGATGTAGTACACCCTCTAGACCAATCAAATGCACATTTAGATTTGCCAGAACAGAACAAAGAGATGTCTTATTCCCGTAGGTTTTTTTTTTTTTTTTTAAACTGATCAGCGGCGTCTGACATATTGTTCTATGATGAACTGGCAATAAAAAAATATGCTGTTATTTTCCCCTTAGGCCAAACAGCGTAATATAACAATTGATGCACATCATTCCCTGAAGTTTCATCACAATTCAATTAGCAAGCATCCACAATGAAAAGCATCACCGACTGAAAATGTGTCCATCTAGAGCACCTCTTGATTTCAGTTTGTCAGATGATGATGGAGTCAATTAGGGCTGGGCGATATGGACCAAAACTCATATCTTGATATTTATTAGCTGACTGGCGATACTCGATATCGATATGTATTTTATTAACAGTGAAAACACATGAAAAATAAACTACCTGTTTGTGAATTTAAAAAGTAATATTATAAAATAAAAGAGAGAGAGAGGAGGAGCAGGGTTAAGAGGGACAGTCAGTCATCATCAGTGAGATGAGACAAAGGTGACCTGGTACCTCTGTAACGTTATTTTAATGCAACATAAACTATATACGATATTAACGATATTGTTTTACCATATATCTTGTTTGAAAATATATCGATATATCTTAAAAACTCAATATATTGCCCAGCCTGAGAGACAAAGCTGGTGTCTAAATGCTGAAAAAGTTATGAATATAAACTGATCAGCTGACTTTGGAAGTTATAATCCTTTAGATTTTTGTTACAGATCAACCTATCTGAATTGGTTGTAAAAAGAAAAAAAGTGAATTACTGTGAAGCAGTTCTTCTACATTTAGCCTGTATGTCTGTAAAAACCTATAATTACTCAAAACCAGCCAGTCAGCCTGTTCCTTACACTAGAACTTTAGTAAACATGAATCATTGAACGTTTAAAAATCTCTGAATCCTCGCTGCCCACAGTTTGTTTTTGTGATAAATGTCGAAGCTCTTCTTCTTCTACTTTTTTAAATAATATTTTATGTTTGCTACAGCCATTTGTAAGCTTTGTTAAAATCATTTAAATGAAATCACTGCCTGAGATCAAAGAGGAGGATTTTGTTGTTTAGTATTTTTTTGATGTGTGTTAAAGGTTTTGGCCCATCCTTGTCTCCACTCCCGATGTGTTTGACATCCCTTGACCCCTTTTTGTTTTTAATCCCAGTAACAAATTTCAGCTTGCTCCCCCTGTGGCCCAGTTTCCAGCACTATTTGAATCCTCTTGACCCTTTCCTGTCTCTACGCTCCTCACGTCTGACCCCTCCTTCTTGTTCCTGTTCTCGTGTCCTCTCGACTCTCAGGTCTGGAAGCAGCTCTGCCCCGGGAACAAGGCCAGTTGTGGGGGAAGGGGAACAGGATGGTGAAGATGGCCGTGTGGGGGCTGTCGGCGACGCTCGGGGCGGCTGTGTTTGCTGTGGCTCAGACGGCTTTGGACTGGGGACCCGACGTGTTACTACAACTGTTCTGAAGTGGCGGTGGGGATTTAGACTTTTTGACACACGGTGACACATGATGACAGCAGAAACAGATCTGCTATCTGCTCTTCAGATGACAAACAATGAACAAACAAAGACATGAAGTGACTTGTTGAAGGCTCTACTGCTAAGAGGACATGTCGGAGGAAAGCTGGAGGATGTCAGTTATCTCGGTGCCAAACAGGTTGTTGCTACTCAACCACAGTGAACATATGTTAACTACCAGTCAGCCTCAGGGTGTGTGTGCGCGTGTGCGTGTGCGTGTGTGCATCTGAACAAGTATCCCAAACCACATATCACATATAAGCATGGATGGATAACGTAACAGGCCAACCATTGTTTGATTAACTTGCCGTCACCTGATGGCATTCAAAGGACCAAAAGAAGTCACAAAATGACAATAAAGACACAAAAAACCTCAGAGTTAGATGACAAAATCAATATCTACCGAGAACACCACAGAACATCAACAAAGAAGTTCCAAACATCAACAAGGGGACGCGGAGATTACAATTTTAAACCACAATGACCTCAAAGAAATCCGATACAAGAACAAAAATACACAAAATAACCTCAAAGGAATGCAAAATCACCAAAAAGATACATTAAGCAATCTCAGAGACAAAAAAAGCAAATCTTCTATAGAGATGCAAACCAACCACAAATTGAAATAAAATAACCTAGAAGTGCAGAAAAAGATACACAATACAAAGACGTGTTATGACCACAGAGAGATGTAAAACCAAAATCTTTCCACACATGAAATTTACACATGTGAAGACATCTTGTTTTTTTTCCACTGTTGCTCTCAAGTTACGGTGTAACACTCGAGATGTGTCTTGTTGTGTTTCCTGTAAGCTGATTATTTTGCTGATATCTTACTTTTAGCCTGTCGTGCTTGTTTTGTTGCATTTTTTGTTGACGTTGTTTAAGTACATTTGTCGGTTCAGCAGCTGTATCTGAGAGCCAAAAGTGCCCATAGCCAGCACGATGACACATGAATACAAATTATTAAAGAGTATGGGGTTTCTCTGCTGAAAGCTTGCAGTAGTGAGGAAAGAAGGAGAACCGGAGAGGAAAAAAGGAAAGATGGCGGGACAGATTCTGCCTGGAACACCCTGGAATTAATTGCTTCCCTCCTGGTGTTGGCGATCTAAATCCACAGTAAAGGTTTCACACACAGGCAGAGCGAGCTGAACTCAACGCAGCACTCAATGCAAACAGTGGCTGTCTTAAGAGATACATTTTTGCAGCAGTCTTTAAAAAAACGTATGTTTTTAAATGTTATTTTTATATTTTTTCCCGAGCACAGTTTTCTGAACGTTGTTGGCCCACCTCTGCTGAATGGAAGACACCAGTACTTTTTTACATTTTTAAAATATTTAGTAGGTTTGCGCCAACACCCACCCTGAACTGCTGTCAACAGAACTACAGTCCATGCACTCAGCTTTTCTTTAGCATCTTATTTCTCTGAAATATTCTCCATGATAGACCAATAAAAATTATTTTCAGGCTACAATTTAGGAACATTTGGATGGATTATTTTAACAAATGCCATGGGGTAACAGAGGCTGTCCTTTGAACCTTTTTTTTACATTAGAAGTTAACTACTTAAAAAAAGTCACCACAAAATCTAAAGCGTAATTTCATAACCTGAATATTAATAATACAGGCCGTTTCCACCTGAGGCACATGCATATGTATGGAGCACGCGGGGTTCTCCAAACAGTGATGCACGCTCTAGTTGTTGCCTCATATTGTGAAACATTTATCAGATTGCACTAGCGGAGCCAAGCTGCTGCATCTGTAAACACAACTTCACTGGAGTCACAACACTCCTTTTCCTCTGCCGTCACATTTACAGTGAATGTGTCACATCTGTGCTCAGCTGAATGTGAAGTGTACACTGTTGATTTTAGACGTGTGTTAACACATGATTTCAGCTGCTTTACACTTGTGTTGTGTTCAACACTGGAGTGAAGTAATGTGTTGTACAAAATGCAGAGTCATTTTTCCCGAGCCCGGCAGCTTCTTTGAAGAAAGCAGAGCTGAGTAATCATTTAAAGCAGTAAATCCATCAAGATCCAGGAGGAGATGCTGAAGGGAATTCCTCACAAAATGACAATTTCTGTCGTTTTGATAGGTGTTAATCAGTCACTTTATTAGGCAATCAATAAACCAATCAAAGGCGTGTAGCTCAGGTAATTAGCTAGCCAGTTAGCATTCAGACATCCAGTCAGCCAAACAAGCTGCTGTGGAGGTTTGAAAAGCCTTGTATTGTTTTTCTTGTGCCGCCTCACATTTCCACATGTGCCTATGATGTGATATCCTGTGTTCATTTTTGAGAGAGAGACTTGAAAATGTTCACTTTGGTCAGTTTCTTTTTCATTTTTGTAACTTTTCTGGGCATTTTCTGTTTCAATTTTCATGCTATCAGGAGTGTACGTAGTTATTTCAAGAGCAACAGTCTGGTTGGCTATTTATTAGAAATACTTCAATATTAATACCAGGGGGGAAACTCAGCGATGTTTGAACATGTAATTGGACAGTATGAATGTGTATTTAAAATGAAAATGAGGTACAGGAAAACATGTGTTTCTGTGGTTGGTAATTATCATCGGACTGGTGTTTTTATTTATATTATCTTAAAACAGGAGTAGTTAGACCTTTAAGTTAATCCACTTGTTTGTTTTATTGCAGTGTTGAGTTGATATATACCACTCTCACTTTGTGTATGCTAAATAACAGGCTACCACTAGTTGCCACTTAGCTTAGCTTAACTTGGCTCAGCATGGCTTAGCTCAATTTAGGCTAAAGACAGGAAGAAGGGTGAAATAGCTAACTTGACTCTGTCCGAGTTTAACAAAAATAACGAACAGCACTTAAACGCTCCCTAAGAAACAGTGTGTGGTATTCTATGGAGGTTATGAGCTGGGCTTTTCTTGGGCGGGTACATTTACAGACAGGCGACCAGCAGAAACTGCAGAAACGTATACGTATGGAGTAGGATAGAATTAATTTTTCAAAAGTAATTTGCAAGCTTATTTTCCAAAATGCTTAACTCCTTCTTTACATTTTTGCCTCATGCGTTATCTAACTTTACAGATAAAGGTAATGGAAATAAAAGGACATTTTAAAGGGAAAGTTTGCTGCCATATGATGCATGCTGACGTTGATGTACGCTGACATTTATCCTGCTGTTACTATGTAACAGATCATGCAACAGCGAGTTTAATTCTGTTGATGCAAGCTTTAATTTGACAGTGATTGCATGTGGTTGTGAATTTTATGCTTTGAAAAAATGTCTTTAAATATGCAGGGAGAAAGCTTTTGGAAAGGGTCTGTGATCTTCAAACAAAAGTCAAGATGCTACTTTATTGTTGTATTATTAGTGCCAGGTAGACACACACACGTACACTAACACTCATAGAGGAAAAGAGCGTTGGTTGGTGCCAGATCATAATGAGGATTTAATTTCTGCCCCTGGCTCATGGCACGCTCAAGACAAATTTCTCCTCGTCTCTTTTCCTTTTTTCTCACATTCACACTCGAACACCTTCAGCAACACCTGCACTGCTCTCAGTCTGCCAGAGACCTTTGATGAAAAATAACTGAAGCATGATCGTGGGTTTAAATTAAAATGATGTAGATGTAAAAATGAGAAGATGGATGTTTGAGATGTTGATCTCTGGTCCAAACTTGAAGAAAACATGAACAAAATAAGATTTATAATTTAATTTCTCTGTTGTGCAATGGATGACTTTTGATGAATTTTTATTTGAATCTATCATTTATGATCAATGCTACAATTTAATTGTCTTTTTTAGTCTTCCTTGTTTAATTTAGCCCACATCTGCAAAGCTCTTTTAAGCTCTTTTGCACTCCACCTATTACACAACCTGTTAAATCTGTTTGCCAAACAAAAAAATAAAATACCATGGATAATAATAATAATAATAATATATTGTTTTTTTATAGCGCTTTTCTAGGAACCCAAAGACGCTTTGACAAAATATAAAACCAATAATTTTTTGAATTTGAGTATAACTAATCAATTTTTATGTTAATTATGACACTTGTACTGCATCTTTAGAAACAAAAATACAAATATTTCTACTTTTAAATGAAGGCTGAATGATTAAGAGCAAAATAACACAAGAAAAATAGAGTGGAAAAATCCAGAATACTTTTGAGTGATTTTAAGAACAGATTCTTCAGTTGAAGAGGATGCAACTTGACAGTAGCTGAAATCTCCTTTGACAGCCACTCATACGGTTGATTTAAACAACCCCCCCAAAAAAACCATACAACCCAGAAAAACAAACACTTTTTATGTACATCAAAATAACTCATATTTCATCCCAAATTATGAGTTCAGTGTTGTGTGATGAGGAGCCTGAAGCTGAACTCCCAGAGAGCTCGCATTGAGCCTCTCATGACCGCTCTGTCCTCCCCTCAGGTCTGAAAAAAATCCCATGAGAATCAAATCACACCAAATGCTTCTACAGATAATGCAATAAGCCTTTAATGTATGTGTGCACATTTCCCATGTAATGGTTACTTAACCTTTTGGTACAAACTGTACTCTTGAACATATCAGGTTCTTTGCACCTTGTACTTGTGAAGTGGTTTTATTGAGACAACAGAAGATGTTTCTGTGTGTTTGAAGGAAAAGAGAATAAATGAAGAAAACACCTTCTGTTTCGTTCTTTTATAAGTCCTTACTTACTTTCCTGCAAGCCACAAATAACCTTTGTTTATAGCTGTGACACACAAAGGATGATGGTGATACACCACACCACATGTATGCACAGTTATGCATTTTAAAGTTTTTCTGTCTAATGATTTTTTATTTACAGTTTCTGTAATAGTTTATAATAAAAGCAGCATTTTTTAAGCTAATCATTGCATACGTTAACTAGTTCTATAGCTTCTAATATGTGATCAATGTTTGTCCTGCCTTTGTCTACTATGAATGTCTACTGAATATTTTGTTTCAGACTGTGTTGTAAATGATGGCATTTTGTTTGCCAGGCATTGCCGCACAACATCACTGATGCACAAGAAAGTGGAACCTCGGATCTCCCAGTCAGCTGCGTGGTTTTTAAAGGGGCGTTATCAGGAAGTGCAGTCAGTACAAGACGTATCTGTGTTGCTGCTGGGTCAAATCTTCAACTGAAATGACTCAAGTTCATTAGACCACAAAAAAAGTTTAGCATGCGATCATTAATATGTCAACACTAATTATATGTAAAGTGATGTCCTATATATTAAATACTGAAGCAGCAGCAAATTATACCACATTGAAGGCTTTTTAAGATTTATTTTTGGTCTTTTTTGGGTCAACAACATGCGGTCGGATTCGAACCTGGGTCTCCCACATGGGGCTTGCACACCAACCACCACACCACCAGCGCCCCAAGCAGCCATCTTTTTTTGTTTTACGAAATGCTTAATAGCACTCCTCTTGACATTCAGTTACTGTTTACATGCTTTGTTTGATGAACAGTTGTGATTGGTCAGCCCTGTATCAGGTCGGATTTGAAATTAGTCTGCAGAGTGTGTAACCTGCCAGAAGAAATAAAACATGAATTTGCAAATTCCTCTATTTCCCAGGTGTATTTATTATGCAGGCCAATTTAAAAAGCATTGGAAGATTAATCAACAGTTAATACTGAGCTGGTTTCAGCATTACATATGCATCCTTTAGAACATCCAGCTGCTGTTTCAGTGACTTTGCAGCTTCAAAGAAAAAACAACACATGGATCTCCCTTTCTTCCTTTGTGTCTCTCTGTACTGTACAGCTGTTGTCTTTTCATACACATAGTTAGACTGGCCTCCTTGGATAAATGAGGTCAGAAATGTGTTTTGGTTTGTGCATGTGTGGGCAGGACAACGCTGCGCATCTGTCCGTCGGACCCCCCAGGGACTCGACCAGAGACAGAGCACAAATCGGTAGATGTGAGGTGAGGCAGAAAGGAAAGGGTTAAAGAGTAGCAAGGGATAAGAAAAGGGTACGATTCATAATGTAGGATAAGACATCTGGTGGTCGGATTCAAGGAGCTCGCTAAGGTCCTAAAAAATACACATATTTAAGCACAGACCCCCCAAAGGATTTCTAATGAGCTGAAGAGGAGGTGAGTGAGGGTCTAGTGTTCAGAGCAGATGTGGAGAGGGATGGTTTGAAATGTATGCACAGTCGCTGTCTAAAAGTGTTATGGGTCTTATTTAAACACTAATTGATGACCAAGACTTCTCAGCACACACACACACACATCTTGGTACACATATTCCTCTGGACTGACCGAAGACCCTCACATTAAACAATGCTGAAGACTTTTACATCTTATCCTCGGTTATTAAACGACACCTCTGATTCACGCTCTCTGTGGTGTGTGTGTGTGTGTGTGTGTGTGTGTGTGTGTGTGTGTGTGTGTGTGTGTGTGTGTGTGTGTGTGTGTGTGTGTGTGTGTGTGTGTGTGTGTGTGTGTGTGTGTGTGTGTGTGTGTGTGTGTGTGTGTGTGTGTGAGAGAAACATTGGACACGCTAGGGACAACAGCTGCTCCAGGGGTCTGTCTGATGGTTTTTTTTCCCCCTGGTGACACACTCAAACACACACACACACACTTGCCTGCACTCACACAACCTCAGTGCCACTATAACAACAGGCACAGCAGCAACACCTTGACTTTCACCGCCGAGCAGAAACAAAATTACTTTTATTTAAATTCATTCATTGGACTTAGTCAAACAAACAAAAAAAGCTCCATGTTGCCTATTTTGTGTTTTTTTATTTTATTTGATTGAGTTGATCTCGTTCCTGTGGTTTTGAACTGTGGCAGTATGCCAATCCTTTAATTAAAAAGCTACATGATGATGTCTTGTAAATGCATGAGAATGGTTATTATCTTGACAAAAATGACATTTAGGATCGTCACAGTATGGAGTATAGTCAGCCCCTGATTAACTGGAATTCATCATTTTAGTATCCCTTCTGCTTCGGCAAGAAAAACAGTCTTGAATGTTAATCTTTTTTTGACCTTTTGTGAAGAGATATGCTCAAATTATAACCATGTCTTCAGATTGATCTGAATTACCAGAGTGTAAAATGTATTAACAGTGTTCACATTAGTGCCCAAGTTGTTGTTGTTTTTTGCCCAGAAAGTTCTGGTTTATGTGACTTCAGGATAAATACTACACAAAAGAAACATGAATGTCCGACGTCAGTTAAACTCCATCCCTCAAGGTTATGAAACACAAATGGACATTTGGATGTGAAGCTGTTTTTCAAAGTCAAAGTATTTTTAGAACATCACACAACAAGATCTACAATCCTACAACTGTCTTGAGTTTACTAAGGACATTCTCTCTCCTTCTCTCTCCCTTTCCCTTTCTCTCTCTCTCTTTCTCTCTCTCCCTCTCTCTCTCTTTCCCTCTCTTTTTCTCTCTCTTTCTCTTTCCCTCTCTTTCTCTCTCTCTCTTTCTCTCTCTCCCTCTCTCTCTCTTTCCCTCTCTTTTTCTCTCTTTCTCTTTCCCTCTCTTTCTCTCTCTCTCTAACCTCTCTCTGTCTCTCCTTCTCCCTCTCTCTCTCTCTCCCCCTCTCCCCCTCTCTCTCTAACAGTCAATGTTGTGGCCCATGTTGTTTGCAGACGTCTGTTTTCTCTTGTTGCTCTTTTGATCTCTTGTCTAAAGTTATTACTGCTACAGGCTTTGGATTGTTGTCCAAATTATGTGATGGTTGAGTTTAGAATTTATACCAGCATTTTAAATAAAGCAGAGCAGAATTCTAGGGCAGTGGAGAGGAGCTGGGTAGCCAATAGCGAGACTCTAAGGATATGCAATAATTGTTTTTTACATTAATTCTGTGAATTTGGCAACCTGATCAGTTCAAATCCAATTCTTGCTCCCCCCTAAGTTTCTTTCTTGCTTCAGACCCAGTTGGTCGACTGTTCGATGAGGGTCAGGTAGTTTACAGTGTCTTAGAGTTAAACAAACCTGTAAAATATCAGGGCAAACTAAAATAATAGGCTAAAGCAAAACTGCAGATTTGTTTGTTTTGTGGTTTCGCTACTAATTCAGAAAAATAAAAAGTCGATTGATTGAAGAAGCTCAAATCACATTCTCATTTAGTTCTTTATTTTTCCTCCACTTTGGACCTTTATCGAGTGTTGAGCCTTCATTCCACAAATCAAAGAGTGGCAGCTCACTAATAGACTTTTTGACCACATCAAATTTAATTTACACTGAAGCTGCATCAATCACAATGACTTTCAAGCCACACACAAACACACATGCATACTACACACAAGCTGTCTTTGTCTGCAGCCCCTTCCCTCCCATCAGCCCTTCACTCCGTCATGGATCACAGAACATGTCCCAGAGTGCTTTACAGGCTCCACACGTGCAGCATGTCCCTGCATGTTGATGGGACTACAGCTCCAACCTTGTACAGTGTGTGTGTGTGTGTGTGTGTGTGTGTGTGTGTGAGAACATGCAGTGGTGGAAACACAGAGCGTGTGAAGGTGGCTTTACATGCTATGACTTTGTTTGTGATTATTGCAAAGAGACCAACATCGCATGTTAACTTGAACTACTGGGAACGAGATGTATCATCCAAAGCTTTTAGATTTAGACGCTGAATGAAAGGTCAGAAAGATGCCAAGGCAGTGAAATAACACAGAAGTCTTTTTATGTCATGCTTTGTTGTGTGTTATGATCACTTGTTGCTCATTTTGTGAGTAGTTGCCTTTCACTTTATAAGCCATGAAAAGAGGCATATGCATTGTGGGACTCAACAAAAAAGTACATCAGGTACCTCTCATATATCAGGGCCTTCTTTTTCCCCATATTAAATATATAAAACCTATCAAACCTTTTTCTAAGAAAGGTTAATAAGAGCTGGCATTGCTGTGGCTTGTTGGTCTGCTGAAAGTGTAACTAATGATAAAACAGTAACAGTGCAGTTTGATCATTTTATTTGCTTTATTTGGATGTAAAACCAGTCCCTCTCTCTTGTTTGAAACCTTCTGTGTTCACATCATTTACTGAAATAGTACAAAGTTATTGCTCCCAATACGGAGCAAAAATAAGAGACTCATTGTTTTTTTTCTTTTTCATTTTTGAATACAGGGTTTGTGGAGTGTTTATGGCAAAAACTCCTTCCTGTTGGCACTATTCAGAACGTTGGAGGAACGAACAGCGGATTTATGGTCTTAGAGCCATGAACGCATGCGCTGACAGTGCTCAGGAAGTGAAATGGCAATTCTCCAGCTACCAGACCAATCTCCAGACTTGGTCCCCACCTTGACTTGTAAGGGTGACAGGCCAGGCAGGCTCTGAGTTTTTCCTGACCTATAAGTGTTTTTTCACGAGCAGGCATAAAAAAGTAGTGTTTAAAAAATATCAAGTCTGGAATCAAACTTTTTGGGGGGATTTTTGTGCCTTTAATGGAGAGATGGGACAGTGGATAGAGTTGAAAATCAGGGAGAGAGAGAGTGGGGAATGACATGCATGAAAGGGCCACAGGCCAGATTGGAACCTGGGCCGCCCGCTTGGAAGACTATAGCCTCCATACATAGGGCGCGCTCACTAACCACTGTGCCACCAGCGCCCCGGGAATCAAACTTTTAAACACTCAGCATGTGTTAGTGTCCTAAATATCATACTTAAAGCCCACACTAGAGGAACCGGTTAT